ATCACCTTAATTTTTTTTTATCACAATACACACCTCTTTCAAAAAAAAATCCAAAATATACTAACCCAAATCAATTAAGGTCGATGTGGTAAATTAATAAATGATCTGTAATATTAACAGTTTTTTTCACCAAAGCGAAATTTTGGGTCAAGAAATTTGCACGAGAAATTTTAAGTAGAATAAAATTCGTATTTTGAATCCTCTAGTATATTAACGTTTGCAATTAGAAAGGTCCATAGCCTGGAACATAGAGTAGACGTATTTCGAATCACATTTGAAATTAAAGTTTGAAATTAAAAAGATTCGTAGCCTGGGACATAGAATAGACGTATTTCGAATCACTTTTGAAATTAAAGTTTGCCATTAAAAATATTCGTAGCCTGGGAAATGGAATAGACTTAGATCTAAGGGCAACACGTACTCTCTTATCTTTGGCCTGAATTACAAGACATTTTTTCCACGGACACAACTTTTGCTATAAGCTAAGAAACGTTGCTACATAGTGTCTTAATTACACTAATAATTAATAATAATTATTTTAGCGAGGGATGATTGTGTTTAGACCAAGATGGCTTCACGCTTCACTGGTTGTGTTATCCTTTATGGGAATGTCTTGCAATGTAAGTAACTTAACGTTTTGATAATTAAGTGATTTTAGGAATAGAATTCTATATTATACGATTGGAGAACAAATATTTCTATTAGCAAAGCTTAGCATTTCTTTACATTGATTTAAATAGTTCTAAAACATTTTTCTTCATGTCCAGTAGCCTCATATACAAACACGCATTACACTTTTATGTAGGTTTTGGAATAAGTATGTTAAAATACAATAGTTAACTAGCAGTGTTTTCGTGTTTATACTTTCACACTCTCTTGATACGGTACTTCAAGTTGACGAGTAACAATGAAGCTAAATATAGACCGGGAATTTCCGTTACCAACATGGAGGAAGATGAGACTGTGTTGATCACAACACGATTGAGCAGGTCAGTTTTGTTGTTTTCTTTTCTTTTAATACAGGGGTCTCCAAACTTTTCTGTCCGAGGGCCGCATTAACTATCACATTTCAGTTAGGGGGCCAGTTTCTTCCAGGTATGTCTTTGATTTTTCTGGGCAAAGTTCCTCAGCCATCATCAACAAACGATTTTTCCTTGGACAAAAAGATCTCCGCGGGCCGGATGAGAGGACTTCGCGGGCCGCATCCGGCCCGCGGGCCTTAGCTTGGAGACCCCTGTTTTAATAGATAAGACCCTGAGGATAAGAGGGTTGGCTAGGTTTAGATATGGTCTCAACTAGTTAGATAAGTGTATGGTAGAATCTAAATAGAATCTTTATGAACTTGAAGACTAAATTGACTAGACTAGTCAGAGATTTAAAAAAAAATGAGGTAGTCTGTATCTCACGCACATGTCATGTACATGTCACGACGTGCAGATTTGATCTCTCCCAGGGGCGTGACTACTATACCGCCAGACCCCGAAATGCATATGGGGGTGGGGGTAGGTGGGTGGGCAGTCCGTTAAGGGGTCTCAAAAATGTGTGTAGTTCCACAATCGATCGCTCGATCAATTCATACCTCTTTCTTAACACGTCATCATAAAAACTCAAAAATAATTACGTATTTTTGAAAGGAAATAAGTTATGACATTGGCACAAAAACTGTAACACAGAATAAAGGGATGTATGTAGGTTGTTTAAAAATACGGTGTAGCAATTCCTTTTATGTATGTTTTAAAATACGTATCCCCCCTTACAATGTACGTAATACTAGTGTGTGTGTGTGGGGGGGGGGGTAAGTGGGATTTTCATGACGTTTTTTAATGGTGGGCTCTGATTTTTTTGTGATGACGTATTTCTTCCATCGCTCGCTTACCAAACTTAGTTGAATCATTGCCTGATAGCCTCTTGTACACCTCGTGGCTCGTTAACTCCAACTTCAGCCTGCTTTCCTCTCCGGATTTGTCTACCTTTACCTAAGAACAATCAGCAAGACAGCAGTTGTTGATTTTTGAGTTGTCTCTCCTTGATGAGTTGCTGCCCCTAGCAACAAGTCTCATCTACCCTGGATCCGAACTCGGGACTTTAAGCAACCATAAGCTCTTCCACTCGACCACGTCGTCCCATTAAAGTATTCAAATGTTCCTACATATTTCTCGAATGTTCCTACCCCCTATATGTTTCTGATATCCCCACCCACAGAACCGGATCTCCGTTTACAGCCGAGTGGGTGGAGCGTGTTGACAAGGACCGGGGTAGGAGGGCGTCCTTCAACCAAACGACGTCCAATTGGCCACACGATATACCTTACATCATCGATTCATCGTTCGCAGGTAACTTATGTCATTTGTGTTCGATACTCCTTCAATTGACATGTAATCGATAATATATATGTGGTTATCGTCTATTAGTCTGACAGGTCATATATTTCATGTGTCGTTGTTTCTCATATTTTTTGAAGTAATTGATTACATATTTATGTATCGATCTTAGTAAATAGTTGTTAAAATATAAATAAAATATATTAATTTTCATTTAAACACACGTTAGAAGAGTGTAATGTCGAATCGAGATTTTCAGCATGTTGGCTGCAAAAGTCAGGTTTTAGAATGATAAATTGAGTCAGGCTTAATCCAAATAATACAGTTAAGGTTAGATTTAGAGTTGGAACGAGGGTGAGAATTAAGCAGTTATCGAAGGAATTTTCTTTTTAATTACCTGCATTCAACAAATTGGAGTTAACGATAGATGTGTTTTTGTGCATGCCTTTGTATGTGCGTGCGCTTTTGCGTGATTACGTGCGTGTGTGTTTGATTGCGTGAGTGCCTGCGTAGGCTATGTGCGTGTGTATTTGTGTGAGAGAGTGTGTGCATTAAATAATCTGTCTTCTCTGAATTGCGGGATGAATATTTGTTTCATTATTTTCTGTGTCACTCAATTTTTCGCGACCTTCATCAGGCGACAGGGTGACGTTTAGAGAGGTGCTGGACCACATCTCCAGTCGTCTGTGTGTGACGTTCCATGACGTGGCTGACACGTATGACCCCAGGGAGGTCAACTGGCTGACCAATCACGGCTTTAAGACCAATGCTTACGTCAGTGTCAAGGGGGGATCTGGGTATGTGAGGTGTGATGTGTGAGGTGTAAGGTGTGAGGCGTGAGGAGTGAGGTGTGAGGTGTGAGGTGTGAGGTGTGAGGTGTGAGGTGGGAGGTGTGAGGTGTGATGTGTGATGTGTGATGTGTGATACTGTAAGGTGTGAGGTGTGAGGAGTGAGGTGTGAGGTGAGGTGTGAGGTGGGAGGTGTGAGGTGTGATGTGTGATGTGTGATACTGTAAGGTGTGAGGTGTGAGGAGTGAGGTGTGAGGTGAGGTGTGAGGTGTGAGGTGTAAGGTGTGAGGTGTGATGTGTGAGGTGTAAGGTGTGAGGCGTGAGGAGTGAGGTGTGAGGTGTGAGGTGTGAGGCGTGAGGAGAGTAGTATATTAGGTCCCTTTTGGAGCGAATTCCTGGCGGAGGAGCTGGTGGGGATGCGCAAAGACATATAGGAAAATACTCGGGATGTGGATGCGCAGGCGGGACAATGAGATATAGCAAAATACTCCACCAGCCTGGTGGAGGGTGGTGGAGGTGGATGCGCAGGCGGGACAACGACATATAGTAAAATACTGCGCCAACTAGGGTTGGCGGAGGTGGAGGTGTGACGTAATCTCCGTTGACCTTGTGACGTAATCATTGACCTTGTGACGTCATCATTGACCTTGTGACGTAATCATTGACCTAGTTACATAATTTTAATGCGTTTTTTAATGAGTTTTTTAAATTTTTAATTAATTTTTATTGACTAGTTACGTAATGTGATTTTAATTATTTTTATTTTTAAATTTTTAATTTTTATTGACCTAGTTACGTAATTTTAATGAGTTTTTTAATGAGTTTGAATTTAATTTTGTAATTTTAATTAATTTTTTATTAACGAGTTACGTAATTTGATTATTTGTTTAATTTTAAATTGTTTACTTTGTTTGTTTACTTGTTGTTTATTTGTTTATATTGTGTAATTTTTTATTGAGTAGTTACGTAATTGGATTTTAATTTTTAAATTTTTAAAATTTTTTAATTTTTTAAAATTATTATTTATTTTGTTTTGTAATTATTATTAACGAGTTACGTAATTTGATTTTAATTACTTTGTTTAATTTATTTATTTGATATATTTATTTTCTTTGTTGTTTAATTTGTTGGTTTGTTTGAATGTATGTATGTTTTAAATAAAAGACTAACACTATCATGTACTAGAACAGTCTTTGTATACCAGCCTTTAACCAGACATGTAACACCTGTTACGTATCGACCGCCCGTGAACCTCCCCGCGCTGCGTGTTTTTAATGGGAATGTATTGATCGCAGCCGCTGGCCCATTACAGCTAATTAAAGTTGGTCATGCATCGTGGGTTTTATGCGTTGTTCGCCGAACCGCATTTAATTGAAAGAGATAAGTGTCTCTCCGCGAAGCCAGCGTTAAGTGTGGGAACACCTGTTACCACGTTAATCGATTTTACCGAACGCTTTGTTAGCTCCGCAAAGTACGTAGGTCATTATGCAACAGCTGTTGTGCGACAGCTGAGGGTGTAATTAGGCTGATCAACCGGACATTACCTTGTTGGTTTTCTACTACGCGTATGCTACACGCTATACACACACACACACAATCACACACTAAAATTAGAACAAAAGTCTTCTTATATTTTATTTGTTTATTAACGTTTTTCCAAGTCATCAAAGGCTTTTAAAATTTCATCCTGTAAACTTAATAGGCGCTCAAAGCAGACGCGACTCATACTAACACCAGAATTTGTAGGAAAATTAAGATCGGTCCCATCTATAAGATCTCTAAGATTTAAAGTATTTTTGTTCATGAATTGGCTAACAATCGCCAATTTAAATCCGGTGTGATTCATCGTTCGTATTTCAGTCACTTTATTGTTACCTCTGGCCACAAGTATCCAATCTTCATTAGACATCTTGAAATAATCTTTTATAATTAGTTCCAATAATTTGAAGTGTTAAACGTAATATAATACGATCGTTAATATATTGACGATTCGCTGACGCCGAAAAGGGTTGTAATATAACTTTTAAATTTGCACCGCGAGCTTTCTTCAAAACAAAATAGGCTGCATATAACCCACAACTGTTGGTTAGAATATCTTGTAACACTATTGAATTGTAAACGAGTGGTCTGTTTGAGTTATTTTTATAAAAGACAAAATGGCGGGCTCCCGATGTCGTAAGCCAAACGGAGGGGGAGGGAGGGGGAGGGAGGGGGAGAGGGGGAAAATACTCCCAGCCTGAGGCAGACGGAGGGGGAGGGAGGGGGAGAGGGGGAGTGGATTTGATTTTTTAATTAGTTTAATTTTTTAAATTTTAATTTTGTAATTTTAATTTATTATTTTTATTAATTTTTATTAACTAGTTACGTAATTTGCTTTTAATTAGTTTGATTTTTAAATTTTATTTGTTTATTTGTTTAGTTTAATTGTTGTTTGTATGTTTTTATTTATTTGATATCTTCTTTTCTTTGTTGTATCGTGTTTAAAATAAAAAGACTGACACTATCGTGTTCTTTGTATAGGGCGCGCGAGCGCGCGCGCGCGCGAAATTCATACTAGGTCGGTAAAGGGGGAGAGAACTTATAGGTATACATTATCATGGTGACATCAAAAGCGATCCTTATTTTATTTATATGAAAGCGTGTTTTCCAAAAAGTGTCACCATGTCGTTGTCATTTTCGCAGCGGGGTTTATTTATATTTTAAGTGCACCTCGTGCACGCTTGTTTACATTTTAAAAGTCGTGTCGCGTGTCTTCCCTAATAGAGAAACGAGAGGAAAGACAACTGTTCTAAAATTAGAACAGACTTGTCTACACACACGAGTAGCGTCCCTTGTGAAAAAATTCGCGTCAGAATCCTTAACTAAACATTCAATTTCTTTAACAAGTTAAAAAAATAATTTAGGAAGACAAGGGTTAACAACATTAGACGCCGCCGTTTTTGTTTCCTGTGACGACAAGGCACAATACACTTTTGTATTTTATGTCTCAAGTAGAGGGGTGGGATATTTTTTCTTTGTAAGCGTGTTGTAAACAATAGGTAGAGGAAGCGATTACTAGGTAAGAGGGGAGAGAACGTGACGTACATCGCGATATTTGAAAACATGGCGATGTTTAACCTCAACCAAAAAAGGCAATGAACCTAGAAGGAAGACGAATATATATCTTAGTCTTGCAGCAGATTACCTTCCCATGTTCGCTTTAGTATTACAGTTTTCATCAATCTTCTTTTTGACTTGAACTTCTTTAATTTTTAAGAAAGTTTACTTATACATAATACATTACGTCTAATGACAATTTTTTATTTTTACCACTCAATGTATTTTGTTTTTTCTATATCTTACATTGTCATCTTAATTTTTGATCACCTTAGTAAAAATTTGCTTAAGATTATAAACTTCAAGTTTAAAAAAAACAACAACGTTATAGTACGTCGTGTCAAATGACACACCGTTTAAAATGTCTACATTTAAAGTTCACCAAAATAATGACGTAAAAACTAAATATGATATGACATTAGCATTCATAGCATTCAATCTAAGCACTCTAAAGTACAAATCAATAATTTTTATTGATTAAGGGGCTGGGTGAGTTATTTTTATTCGGGTGCCCAGGGAAGGTTTGGAGTTGGTTGGGACAGATTTTATACACGAGTCGGTAACGTTTTTACCGAGGCAGGGTTTTTACCGAGTTGGTACATGCATCCTTGGAATTGTTAGGGGCCGAGTCTATACTACGGTGGGTTGGTTTTGAACTAGGAACATGCATGTTTTGGAATCGGTAGGTGTAGAGTCCATACTAGGGTCGGTGAAGGTTGGTTTTGAACTCGGCACATGCATGTTTTGGAATCGGTAGGTGTAGAGTCCATACTAGGGTCAGGGGAGTTTTTGTTAACACCGAGGTAGGTTGCAAAGTTGGTACATGCATGTTTAGGAATTGTTGGTAGCCGAGTTCATACTAGTGTCGGTGAAGGTTGGTTTTGAACTCGGAACATGCATGGTTTGAAATCGGTAGGTGTAGAGTCCATACTAGGGTCAGGGGAGTTTTTGTTAACACCGAAGTAGGTTGCAAAGTTGGTACATGCATGTTTAGGAATTGTTGGTAGCCGAGTTCATACTAGTGTCGGTGAAGGTTGGTTTTGAACTCGGAACATGTATGTTTTGAAATTGTTGGTAACCGAGTTCATACTAGGGACGGGGGTGTTTTCATCGAGGCAGGTTACAAAGTTCGTACATGCATCATTGGAATTGTTAGGGAGAGTTAAACTAAGGTCGGTGAAGTTTTCACCGAGGCAGGTTTCAGAGTTGGTACATGGATGTTTAAGAATGAACAGGGGCTGTGTTCATACTAGGGTCCGTGAATTTTGTTAGCACTGAGGCAGGTTGGAACGTTGGTACATGCATGTTTGGGAATTGTTGGTAGCCGAGTTCATACTAGTTTCGGTGAAGGTTGCTTTTGAACTCGGAACATGCATGTTTTGGAATTGTTGGTAGCCGAGTTCATACTAGTGTCGGTGAAGGTTGGTTTTGAACTCGGAACATGCATGTTTTGGAATCGGTAGGTGTAGAGTCCATACTAGGGTCGGTGAAGATTTCACCGAGGGTGGTTTCAAAGTTAGTACAGGCATATTTTGGAGTTGGATGGGAACGTTGTCACTTGTGACAGTAAACGAAGGGGGATAAATGTTTGTCTGTTACTTTGTCCTTTGTCTGTCCAAGTAATAGTGTGGGTAGAGGTACGATCTGTTTATCAAGCGGGTGTTTAGGGACGGGGGCGAGGGCGGCGGACAAAGTTGTCGATGTAGGTAGGGTGCAAGAGATATTCAACGAGGAGTGGTGTCTACAAGTTACATAGCCCACTCTGTTGGAGTAGTGTGTAGGGGTTGCGATATTAGTTGAATAAATATTTGTCTTTAGGATTGTCATACAGCCTTTGTCTCTTAAATGTAATAGAATGGGTAGTGGTACGGTCTGTGTATCTAGCGGTTGGTATTGAGGTTAGTGTGATGACGCAGGGTTGGATGGGAGAAGGGGAAAGGGGTTGCGGACAAAGGGAAGGGGAAGGGCGAGTAGTGATAAAAATAACTCACCCAGCCCCTTAATCAATAAAAATTATTGATTTGTACTTTAGAGTGCTTAGATTGAATGCTATGAATGCTAATGTCATATCATATTTAGTTTTTACGTCATTATTTTGGTGAACTTTAAATGTAGACATTTTAAACGGTGTGTCATTTGACACGACGTACTATAACGTTGTTGTTTTTTTTAAACTTGAAGTTTATAATCTTAAGCAAATTTTTACTAAGGTGATCAAAAATTAAGATGACAATGTAAGATATAGAAAAAACAAAATACATTGAGTGGTAAAAATAAAAAATTGTCATTAGACGTAATGTATTATGTATAAGTAAACTTTCTTAAAAATTAAAGAAGTTCAAGTCAAAAAGAAGATTGATGAAAACTGTAATACTAAAGCGAACATGGGAAGGTAATCTGCTGCAAGACTAAGATATATATTCGTCTTCCTTCTAGGTTCATTGCCTTTTTTGGTTGAGGTTAAACATCGCCATGTTTTCAAATATCGCGATGTACGTCACGTTCTCTCCCCTCTTACCTAGTAATCGCTTCCTCTACCTATTGTTTACAACACGCTTACAAAGAAAAAATATCCCACCCCTCTACTTGAGACATAAAATACAAAAGTGTATTGTGCCTTGTCGTCACAGGAAACAAAAACGGCGGCGTCTAATGTTGTTAACCCTTGTCTTCCTAAATTATTTTTTTAACTTGTTAAAGAAATTGAATGTTTAGTTAAGGATTCTGACGCGAATTTTTTCACAAGGGACGCTACTCGTGTGTGTAGACAAGTCTGTTCTAATTTTAGAACAGTTGTCTTTCCTCTCGTTTCTCTATTAGGGAAGACACGCGACACGACTTTTAAAATGTAAACAAGCGTGCACGAGGTGCACTTAAAATATAAATAAACCCCGCTGCGAAAATGACAACGACATGGTGACACTTTTTGGAAAACACGCTTTCATATAAATAAAATAAGGATCGCTTTTGGTGTCACCATGATAATGTATACCTATAAGTTCTCTCCCCCTTTACCGACCTAGTATGAATTTCGCGCGCGCGCGCGCTCGCGCGCCCTATACAAAGAACACGATAGTGTCAGTCTTTTTATTTTAAACACGATACAACAAAGAAAAGAAGATATCAAATAAATAAAAACATACAAACAACAATTAAACTAAACAAATAAACAAATAAAATTTAAAAATCAAACTAATTAAAAGCAAATTACGTAACTAGTTAATAAAAATTAATAAAAATAATAAATTAAAATTACAAAATTAAAATTTAAAAAATTAAACTAATTAAAAAATCAAATCCACTCCCCCTCTCCCCCTCCCTCCCCCTCCGTCTGCCTCAGGCTGGGAGTATTTTCCCCCTCTCCCCCTCCCTCCCCCTCCCTCCCCCTCCGTTTGGCTTACGACATCGGGAGCCCGCCATTTTGTCTTTTATAAAAATAACTCAAACAGACCACTCGTTTACAATTCAATAGTGTTACAAGATATTCTAACCAACAGTTGTGGGTTATATGCAGCCTATTTTGTTTTGAAGAAAGCTCGCGGTGCAAATTTAAAAGTTATATTACAACCCTTTTCGGCGTCAGCGAATCGTCAATATATTAACGATCGTATTATATTACGTTTAACACTTCAAATTATTGGAACTAATTATAAAAGATTATTTCAAGATGTCTAATGAAGATTGGATACTTGTGGCCAGAGGTAACAATAAAGTGACTGAAATACGAACGATGAATCACACCGGATTTAAATTGGCGATTGTTAGCCAATTCATGAACAAAAATACTTTAAATCTTAGAGATCTTATAGATGGGACCGATCTTAATTTTCCTACAAATTCTGGTGTTAGTATGAGTCGCGTCTGCTTTGAGCGCCTATTAAGTTTACAGGATGAAATTTTAAAAGCCTTTGATGACTTGGAAAAACGTTAACAAACAAATAAAATATAAGAAGACTTTTGTTCTAATTTTAGTGTGTGATTGTGTGTGTGTGTGTATAGCGTGTAGCATACGCGTAGTAGAAAACCAACAAGGTAATGTCCGGTTGATCAGCCTAATTACACCCTCAGCTGTCGCACAACAGCTGTTGCATAATGACCTACGTACTTTGCGGAGCTAACAAAGCGTTCGGTAAAATCGATTAACGTGGTAACAGGTGTTCCCACACTTAACGCTGGCTTCGCGGAGAGACACTTATCTCTTTCAATTAAATGCGGTTCGGCGAACAACGCATAAAACCCACGATGCATGACCAACTTTAATTAGCTGTAATGGGCCAGCGGCTGCGATCAATACATTCCCATTAAAAACACGCAGCGCGGGGAGGTTCACGGGCGGTCGATACGTAACAGGTGTTACATGTCTGGTTAAAGGCTGGTATACAAAGACTGTTCTAGTACATGATAGTGTTAGTCTTTTATTTAAAACATACATACATTCAAACAAACCAACAAATTAAACAACAAAGAAAATAAATATATCAAATAAATAAATTAAACAAAGTAATTAAAATCAAATTACGTAACTCGTTAATAATAATTACAAAACAAAATAAATAATAATTTTAAAAAATTAAAAAATTTTAAAAATTTAAAAATTAAAATCCAATTACGTAACTACTCAATAAAAAATTACACAATATAAACAAATAAACAACAAGTAAACAAACAAAGTAAACAATTTAAAATCAAACAAATAATCAAATTACGTAACTCGTTAATAAAAAATTAATTAAAATTACAAAATTAAATTCAAACTCATTAAAAAACTCATTAAAATTACGTAACTAGGTCAATAAAAATTAAAAATTTAAAAATAAAAATAATTAAAATCACATTACGTAACTAGTCAATAAAAATTAATTAAAAATTTAAAAAACTCATTAAAAAACGCATTAAAATTATGTAACTAGGTCAATGATTACGTCACAAGGTCAATGATGACGTCACAAGGTCAATGATTACGTCACAAGGTCAACGGAGATTACGTCACACCTCCACCTCCGCCAACCCTAGTTGGCGCAGTATTTTACTATATGTCGTTGTCCCGCCTGCGCATCCACCTCCACCACCCTCCACCAGGCTGGTGGAGTATTTTGCTATATCTCATTGTCCCGCCTGCGCATCCACATCCCGAGTATTTTCCTATATGTCTTTGCGCATCCCCACCAGCTCCTCCGCCAGGAATTCGCTCCAAAAGGGACCTAATATACTACTGAGGAGTGAGGTGTGAGGTGTGAGGTGTGAGGTGTAAGGTGTGAGGTGGGAGGTGTGAGGTGTGATGTGTGATGTGTGATACTGTAAGGTGTGAGGTGTGAGGAGTGAGGTGTGAGGTGAGGTGTGAGGTGTGAGGTGTAAGGTGTGAGGTGTGAGGTGTGATGTGTGAGGTGTAAGGTGTGAGGCGTGAGGAGTGAGGTGTGAGGTGTGAGGTGTGAGGCGTGAGGAGTGAGGTGTGAGGTGTGAGGTGTGAGGTGTGATGTGTGATGTGTGATGTGTGATGTGTGATGTGTGATGTGTGATGTGTGATGTGTGATGTGTGATGTGTGATGTGTGATGTGTGATACTGTAATGTGTGAGGTGTGAGGTGTGAGGTGTGAGGTGTGAGGTGTGAGGTGTGAGGTGTGAGGTGGGAGGTGTGAGGTGTGAGGTGGGAGGTGTGAGGTGTGAGGTGAGGTGTGGTGTGTGATGTGTGATGTGTGATGTGTGATGTGTGATGTGTGATGTGTGATGTGTGATGTGTGATGTGTGATGTGTGATGTGTGATGTGTGATACTGTAAGGTGTGAGGTGTGAGGTGGTAAGTGTTAGCATATCATTCATCGTATGACCATCATAAACAGTGGCGTCACTAGGTCACGTGACACCCGTGTAGCAAACTCAGGGTTTTACTCCCCACCCCCCACCCCCAACGATTGTGTATTTAAATTAGGCAACAAGATGCCACCACCATCCCGAATAATATAACTTTGTGTTCAAGCTCTCTCATTAAAGTTAGACAGGTTTTTTTTTTCGATTTAGTTTTGCCCCGGGTTGCCCCTTTTGTGAATGGATACGTGGCGATGCGCATCCTTTAAAGCTATTGAGCTCAACTCACGATCTAGTTAGGGTTGTATTCAAATTCTACGACATCAGAAAATACCCAGAATCCTTCATACCATCTTCTTCGAAAATATTAATTTATATTTGTTATATTTACAATCATTTTTGCTTAATATGTGGTAAAAAAATGTAAGTAAATGTTCGGAAATGTACGTTTAGAAATGTACAAAAAATTGTCCACATGTTTGGCTGTTTTGAGTACATTTTGTATCTTCTATTTCACTTAAAAAGTGCGTACTTAGTAATGCATTATAGGAAATAGGCCTACTGGATTTAGTTATCCTGTACTAGTGTGTTTAACTTATTTAGTGTACTTCACAACTTAGGTGCTCTGCTATGCATGGGATGGGAACAAACCCAGGACCTAAAGTCGTCTATCCTTGCGAGGATTTTGTAAGTATTGAAACTCTTAGAACGGCAGTGTGGCCATAAATAATCTTGATATTTATAGCGCTATTTAATGTACTTTTTCATGCTAACTTTCTAAAACTCTACTAATCGAACTGTACTGACAATATAAATATATGCACAACACACACATATATACCATATAGGAACCAACATACTCCAGTTGATCAATAAACACAAACAATCATTGTATGTCAATGGGCTTTCTTAAAGGTAGAGTTCAAATGATGTATTGTAATTTCTAATGTTGATGATGTAATATTTCTAAATGATGGACTGTGCAGTCTTGTAACGTTTCTCCCTCACCAGGGCATCAACCTGCACGAGATGTTGCACGTGCTTGGTGTCATCCACACCCACCAGGGGCGGATCCGTGACTCGTACATGTCTATCAATGAGGCGGATATCAAAGACAGTGAGAGCTTCTTCTTCTTCGTTCGTACTTATAATGTCGGAAGGGATTCCCTCCAACACAATTAAGTACTACGTGTTAACTCGTTATTACACTGACTTCAGTCTGTTTTTTTTGGATTTGCTTCAATAGCATTTGTCCAACAAAAAACAAACTACAATGCAGCAGTTGTTATATTTTGGAATGGTCTCTTTTAGATGGGTTACTGTCATTAGCTATTTTGGAGTTGTCTCTCTTAGATGGGTTACTGTCCTTAGCTATCGTGTTTCTCGGGACTTAACTGTTTAGCACCCATGCACTTTCCCGGCCCAACCCCAGCATTCCACTTAATTTTCCTTAATTTTAGACCAGTACAAATCCAAAGACCACAGTTAATTAACTAAACCTTTACAAATGATAAATATATTACCAAAATACGTGGCAATGTTTCGGTCTTTTTTTTTTTTAGATATTTAGCGATTTCTGGATATGTGACGAAAGATCAAGTTTTATTGTCGATACACTAGAGTAGATTAAAATGTAGAGGTAATATTTAAGCAATGTTTAGATTTCTAACACCTAAACAGACACACAAATATATTTACTTAAGCCGTCTGTGTTGCAGGTCTAGTGGACGCCTACAGTAAGGTCACGGCCCCCACACTGATCAACGACTTCTTTGACCCGGACTCTATCATGATGTACGGAGATAGGGTAACACGTCACTCATTATACACTCGCTAACACGTTACTCGTTATACACTCGCTAACACGTCAGTCATTATACACTCGCTAACACGTCACTCTTTACAATTACAGGGTAATACGTCACTCATACACTTGCTGATTCGTCATTATTTTCACACACAAGATGACGTCACTCTTTACACAAGAACACGTCACCCTTTACACCGACTCACACACACACCCTCAGACACATACACATGCACGCGCGCACACGCGCTTTCACACACATAGCAACCGTCACTGTTTACAAACACACTAACACATCACAGTTTACAAACAGTGTTATTCATGACTCCTCACACACATTGCAACACACCAATCTTTATATAAATAGTGATACATCACTTTCTGCATTCGCTCATGGTAACACAATAATCTTTACACACATAATAACACATGCAACTTGACACACAAATAAAAACAGACTTTGCATTCATGTCATATTATGACGCATCACTCTAATACAACATCCTACAGGTCATTACACCCATCTCTACTAGAAAATAAAATCCATAACAAAGGGCTTCCTAACACGATGTATAAGTTACAGTAGAGATAACACTGTCCAGACATCTCTTTAATTCTTCCAGACTTGGAACCTTGACGGACTTGAAACATACACCCCCATCAGGGACGATTTCTTCCAGCTAGCCATATCATTCTCAGAGGAAAGTGTCGTATTTCTAGAGCTCAACGCGATATACAGGTGTAACGGTGAGTTGTTGATACAAGGCCATCTACCTAAGTTGTTGATACACGGCCATCTACCGGTGTAGTGGTAAGTTGTTGGTACAAGGCCATCTACCTAAGTTGTTTATACAAGGCCGTCTAAAAATGTATCGGTAGGCTTGGAACAACGCCACCCACTAATGTGATGATAGATTGTTCACATGTTATTTAAAAATGGTGGTTAAACGTTTTCTTTAAGGTGGGTTTCTAATTGGGTAGTAATTTCTATTGCTTAACAAAAGATCAGTATCATTATGGCTAGAATTATTAATTAAAAATTATTCATTAAAAAACAAAAATACCTTTCATATGTAAACACTAATCATAGTGTCGAGAAAGTCTTAGGTCAATCTAACATTATACGTAGAGTATATTTTAAATGAGCATCTCGGATTATGATGAGAGGGGCTCACAATATATCCTATAGACTGTTTGATAAATGCAAGATTATGTTTATATGATGAGCTTTAAATATCGGTAATTCTGTGGAAATGGTGTTGACCCCGTCTCTTCCCCAGAACTATTCTGCAACAACGACCAGACGGACTGTGGCCCAGGCTACCACACGTTGATCAATGGACGGTGTCGCTGTGTCTGTCCAGATGAGTTGGATTACAACACCAATTGTAGGACACACATTGATGGACGTGAGTGTGTCTTTATCAAATACTGTACAACGTTGTGCTCTAGTACGTCTCTCAATAAAGGGTGTATTTTCGTCAGTTTGATCAGTGCAAGTCCTCACTAGTTCACATTTTGTTGGATGTTTTAATCTGAGATTTTAAAAGACTATATGGGACAGAGTGGTCAAACGGTAGAGAGCAAGACTGCTAGCCGAATGTCTCGAGTTCGGATCAAAAGGTCCCTGTCCGTATTGTATTCTTGAGAGCATCTAGTTCTAATGCGTACGTGGCTTGTGTTTAGGAAAGTAAGGGTGACCAGGCGTATCACTGAACATTCATTCGTTCATTCATATGCCGAGGTCACTGTATGAACTCTACTCCATCGGTCTGGTTCGAAACGGTGGCTTAACTTATTTTCGTTTATCATAAAACTGAAACAATAATGACAATTGGTCTATAGACTCTATACCATCCACTGTCGTACGCTCAACTATATTGGCACAAGTCCACTTCCTTAACTCCTGCGATTATCATCGTTCCCCATTCGTTCCCAAGACACATAGGGCAGATGTAATAGAGTCCAGCTGTTTCATTGACCTTAGCATTCATGGGGACAGAGTGTGGTCAGCACTATACCCAGTCGCCTTTGCTTCCCGAACGTGAGTCAGGTACCCACCAGAGCTGGATGGACTCAGGGACGTCTTACTGACTTGAGCCCGGGATCCGAACCCAAGACATTCGAATTAACAGCTCTGTAAATAACAGATCCCCATTCCTATATTTTTTTGTAATTTATCATTACAAAAGGGCTCGTAAGTAGATCACCAACTTCTCGTTCTCATACTTGCCATCTAAGTATTCAAAACAAGTGTGAATATTTTTTTATTAAATCAAAAATGTTATTTCAGCTTTTGTTATTTAAAAATAAGTATTTTAAAATCTTGAATCGAGGTCTTTAAACAAAAAGCCTCCGCATTTTATGTCATTAATGGTGATCAGGTTCAAAGCAGCTCAGTTCGAAAATATATACATCTCCCTGGCTAACGAGATTTCAAATTTTAAGCGAGAGAGACCGAGACTTACAAGCCCTATTGTATTCTCAAAATAATCACGTATGAAACAAATAAAACAGTTACATGTGTTATCTCAAACGACTGTTGTCGTGTACACGTGTGTTTATGTTGCAGCTAACACCGACATCCCCTGGCCTGACACGCAAATAATCCTCTACGGCACCGCCAAATGCCCGACTGGTTTCGATCCCGAGCCAGCGATTCTGCCTCTATCGGGCACCTATAGACTAACACAGCAGTTTGTCCCTGAACGGTACCCCTACGTAAACGGCTCGACCAACTTGTATCTGTGTAAAAAGTCAACTCCAGTCAACTCAGATGACGTCAACTGGAAATCTTGGCCCAGGGGAGGCCAATACTGCTTTGTCAAACCTCTGGGACAAGATTGTGGGGGAGGTAATTCTACGTATTTTATAGTAACGTTTTACTTAGATTAAATATTATCAAAAAGATTGTTTTAAAATGGAATTTTTTTCAGGTATATTATTAAAACGTTGATACTTTGCATAATATCAGTGGAACGGCGTGGTCGATTTGGTAAAGTTCATGGTTGCTCAACCTAAAAGTCCAGGGACAACAACCCATCTTGGAGAGACACTTCAAACTGACACGTAGTATTAAATTGTGTTGTAGGGAATCCTTTCCAAAACTAGAATTAAGAGCGAAGAAGAAGAAGAATGAAGAAGAAAAAGGACACAACTATATCTTTACTTGTTATTAAAGGAACTAAATAAGTTTTATTTATTTATTTTATAGTGTATGTAGAAGCTTATTATTAGAAAGGCTTTTAAATATTATTTTTTAAAATATCCAGTAATTATCCAACATTCGAATCAATATCTAAAATTGGGAGAGCAAATTATTATATTCAGTTTACCCTAATTCGAAATACTCCTACAGTAACTTTAGACCAGCGCTATACTAACATGTTAACAACATCATTTACTTACTTCACGTCTACAGTGTTTGAGAACGGAGCCATCCAGTTTGAAACTTTGAATATTAGCGAGCCTGTAGGAGACGTGGGTAACGTGACGGTAGACGGCAGGATGGTGACCATTAACTACTGCTGTAGAAACAGGGATCATTGGGGGCTCGTCATGGATCTGCCCAACGCGGATCCGTTTAATTTGGTGGCTAGATATCAGAGGTGTCCTGTAGTTAGAGGTGAGTGGTTTGGTGGTTAGGTGTCAGATGTGTCCTGTAGTTAGAGGTGAGTGTTTGGTGGCTAGGTATTAGAGGTGTCATGTAGTTAGAGGTGTTTTGGTGGTTAGGTATCAGAGTGATTGTGTGAAGAAATTAATAAATTAAAGGTAGTTTTTTTTTAAATATATAATAATTTACGCACACACAAACACATGCAGGCACATATACAATCAGGCACACATACATGAACGCAGACACACATATATGCACCTCAACACATACGTACACACAATAACAAAAAAAAATGAACACATATAGATACAAACAGGTACACGTTAACTTAACACACAAGCACATACACACCTTAGTACACACACCCTAAGGTAGACGTGCTCAAGCACACCCATATATAAACACATCCACACAAGAACAACCACAAATAGACACTCACACAACCATAACCACAGTCAGAGACACAAAAAACACGTCAACAGTTAGACACACACACGCACACTTACAACCACCAAAGACCAATCACCTGTTGACTTCCCCAGGTATGAAGGGCACCAACTCCCAGCTCACCTTCTGGACGAGTAGTTCCCGTTCTTTTGGTCCCAACCCACCTTTGAGCTTCTTCTACGCCCAGAATTTCATTCATTACCAATGTAACTATAAGCCTCCCGTGTATGGTAAGTACACACAGGTATACTAATCATTCAACCTGAAACACAGCTGCAGTGGCGTAGCCAGGATCGTCTCAAGGGGGGGGGGGGGGGTTTACAATTTTTACCCGGTGACAAACTTTCGATTTGCACCCCCCCCCCTCAAACTTTCGATTTGCACCCCCCTCAAACTTTCGATTTGCACCCCCCCCCCCCCCTCCAACTTTCTATTTGCACCCCCTCATACTTTATATATATATATATATACCAAGGGGTCTATGGGAGGGTTATGACCCCCCTAACCCCCCTGCCTACGCCACTGCACAGTTGAGCTACACTTTGAATAAATTTAATTAAACCATAATAATTGGTAATCATTAGGAGTGTGATTACTTTCAATATTAAGCCGGCTTTAAGTTTACTAAATAAATAGTATGCTTAGGTTTAGTATATATCCTATGCTATTGATAGAGTTATTTTCTTTACATTTAAACATTATTTCCACCCTAGTTATTTCCCTCGATAAAATATACAGTATTGAGCTAATATTTAATTTTTGGTAAAAATCTTCTAAACAAAATATCGAGAGTATAAAGGACAAACTCAGTATGTCCACTTTTTTTTGTGATTGATGTAAATTTATACTTATATTGTAAATAATAAAAGCTCCAAGAACACTCATGTTCAATGTCATAAAAGTAGAATGCTAATATTTTATGAGTGTTTAAACATAATATTTTGCACTATTTTAGTATTGAAATGAGATGTATAAACTAATTTTTCTCGAGATTATTTTTTTGTGTGGACATACTGCAGTTGTCCTCTACACCCTCGATATTTTGAACGTTTATAGTTGAACATATGCTATGAGGGTGTATAGTCGAAATATAAATTTCACATTGTCTCATATCACTGGAGTAACGATCGCACAATATTCTACTGCAGGTTGTAGCGAGACGTACACACTTAACTCGACCACTCGATCTGTCACCGTCACTACACCTGGGTTCGAAACCAGTAGAGAACCAAACAGAAGATGCTTTTACAGTTTTAATGTACGTTCTACATATAAGCATATCTTTGCTATTTCGTGTCAAGGGAAATAACACAGCTAATTGTTTTGGTCATATTCGTTTCTTTGGTTATATCCCTTTAATTAAGTATGGGGGAAACTGCTCAATAGCCTAGATGTTTATATAAAAGTCTGCAGGTAAATGGAGAGGTTGAGGGTAGAGGAAAAATACAGCGTGGTCGTGTGGTTGAGCTATCGAGTGCTAACCTGAAGGTTTGACTTCGGATCCAAGCCCGCGTCTACCCAGCTCTGATGGGTACCTGACTCATGTTAGGGTAACTAGGGCGGTTAGGCGTAGTCCTGACCACATTATCCCCGTGCCTAGGTATTTGAATCAGTTGAACTCTACTTCATCTGCCCCGTGTGACTTGGTCATGAACGGCAAAATATGACGATTAAGTGGAGGAAAGGATGGGCGCGGATGGGGGGGGGGGGGTGTCCGATTTTTTACTAACAAATTATCAATATGGGATTAAAACTGGCAAAATGAAAAGCTATGAAAGGAATTTTACTTGTTTAATATCATGCCGTCTTGTATGCAAAAGTTAAATATTAATCCTGCTTGTCTTGTTGAGATTTTTTTTCTTTTTCAAAACGTACAGGTACCAGCCCAATCCAGACTGAGGCTGACCTTGAACCAGTTTTACACATCCAGTAATGATGAATTTCTCATTAAGCGTTTCCATCAGTGGCAGAATCCGTACAGGTAAGTTCTAGTTCACGTGACAACATTGGTGGGACCCCTACAGGTTAGTTCTAGTTCACGTGACAACATTGGTGGGACCCGTACAGGTAAGTTCTAGTTCACGTGACAACATTGGTGGGACCCCTACAGGTTAGTTCTAGTTCACGTGACAACATTGGTGGGACCCCTACAGGTTAGTTCTAGTTCACGTGACAACATTGGTGGGACCCGTACAGGTAAGTTCTAGTTCACGTGACAACATTGGTGGGACCCGTACAGGTAAGTTCTAGGTCAGGTGTCAACATAGATGGGACAGTACAGGTAAGTTCTAGTTCATGTGACAACATTGGTAGGACCCGTACAGGTAAGTTCTAGGTCAGGTGTCAACATAGATGGGGCAGTACAGGTAAGTTCTAGTTCACGTGACAACATTGGTGGGACCCGTATAGGTCAAATTTGAAGTCACTTATTGACTTTAAAGTCAAATGAGGAGTAATTTTTTTGTTAAGCGCCATATACATTATGATGGATGAGAAAAATACCCCGTTAAAATTGCTCAAGCGAAAGGAATTCTCTTCAATGACTAGTCATCTCGACTAATTCCAAACATAGCAATTTAATAAAGTCAGGATTATTCGCTCACAAACAGACGTTGTTTATTTCATACATTTTTGTTTACATGGAGGGGGGGGCACTTAAACTATCGATGGGTGGGCTTACGATTCCGTGGGGGTGGGGGCGGAAACTGGTTAAAGTAGGCCCTATATTTTTTCTGTTTAAAATGTATAATTTTTTTTTTTATTCAGAATGTGGACTTGCTTGGGGTGGGTGGAGGGGTTTGGGCGTGGGATCTATTGCCACACCCGTGGAGCTCCCCCTCCCCCCTTAAGAAATTCTACTGCCACTCCCCCCCCCTGAACGAAATTGAATTTATATAGAAAGTATATACTTTTAACTGTGTCCAACCCCCCCCCCCCCACCCCAATTTTGTAGTGTTTTCGGAAGAAACACTGCCCACTGATATATCATTAACCTTGTTAGTTTTCCCCACAAAACGCTTCCATCTTATCTTGTTAGTTTTGTATCTTACCTTGTACCAGCATGACACGTGACAACCTGGTGTACCAGCTGGTCAGCGAGGGCAACTACCTTTCCCTTCAGTACTGGTCGTCTTGGGAGTCCGCCACCAACAAGGGAGTCAACTTCACCGTGGACGTGGTCCTGGGTAGGTTGTGAACACACGGACACGCCCTAGTGGTAATCTCATGAGTCTTGCAACATAGAAGTCAAACTACCACAAACGGTTACAAAACACAAGTCTAAGTAACACAAAGACTGGTTAACACTTCTATTTCTTCTTCTTCGTTCTTAATTTTTAGTGTTGGAGGGGATCGAGCCTTATCTGACAGAGGGTTTGAACTCGAGACTTTATCGAATTTAACAATCATGATCTTTGCCGAATCGACCACGCCTCCAACACAACTAGTCTGCCTGTCAACTGGGTATGCGCCATTGAGTCCATTGACTCCGATTTCAGCCTGCTTTTCTATTTTTGGATTTGCTTCCATAGCCTTTGTCCCACCAAGAACAATATACAAGGCAGCAATTGTTTGATTGTGGAGTTGTCTCTCCTAGAAGACTGGCTGTCCCCAGCTAACGAGCCTCATCTGCCCGAGGGTTCGAACTCGAGACTTTTCTAAAAAGAGTTGAATACTATCTACACAAACACGGGCTATTCAACATACTAAAACAAAATGGTACACGAAACTAAGCTACAGTGGTTATGGAACTTTAGTATACACTAATCATGTAGAAGTAACGTACATGTCTGAGGCGCTCAAACAAGCTATTACAGAACTTTTTTATACCCGTACACAATCAAACACAAACCGGACTATTATCACGTGATTACAGACAGCTTAAAACACGAAGGGTGAACACTAGGGGGCGGGGCAGGTCACTACGTACAAACAACATCCACCCCACATCCGATTCACTCATCTACTTCACGGTAAAACAACTTTTTAAATAAACACCCAATTTTATAATACTTTTTATAAAGTATAGAGCATTTATATAGAGCAAATTTATAGAGCATTCTAACTTATTTTTCGTATATACCTATATCATAGACTCAAACTTGAAAAATACATTGCTAAAGTCGAATAACTTTTATTTTTTAAACCCAATGATACAATATATTAAATATTGTTATCAATAGAGGCAGACATTAGTGAATAGAGGCAGACAAAAGTGAATAAAGGCAGACAAAAGTAGAATCAACGTATTTCGTGATTAACTTTTCATGATCTGGGAACGTCTTCTTTCAGCCGAGGAGATGTGTTACGATGTGGCGACAAAAGGGGCAGACTACTACGGTGAGAAATCTGTTACAGAAACTTTCGAGCCTTGCGTCCCTTGGGAGAAAGCCACATCTTGTGATGACTTCCCCTTTGATGGGTAGGTGGCAGTAGCAAATGTATTACTGTCATATATAATCATATTAGAGTCGTAGAATTTATTTTGTTCATAAATACATATTTCAAATTTATTAAAACCTATCACTATGTAGTGACTAATAAGCAAATACAAATATTTTAATTCACACACTAAGATTTAAAAAAATAAATTATAAATACTTAATTCACATTTTAATAGTTTAAAAATTATTTTATTTTATCACCAGTTTAAACGGGATTTCCCTGTTAGAAAGCGGAAGTAGCTGTAGAAACCCCGGCGGGTCCCTCCTTCAGCCTTGGTGTTATACTTTTGTCAGGGGCAGCGTTTGTCATAAACGTTATTGTGACGTCTGCAATATTCGTAAGTCATTCACAATCTGCTGATAGGATATTACAGCAACAACAAATTAATATTAAATTTAAATTTTACGTAAAACGAAGCCAAACAGAACTCATCTTGACAAGCACATTTGGAAATTTTTATTTTGAAAGTCCGTAAGAGGGGGGGGGGGTTATAAACTGAGTTGACACACCCGACATATTTACCCCACTGGACAGGCAACAGCGAGTAAGATGCAAGCCCAAGACGACAGAAGAAAAAATAAAGAAATTTCTTTTTCGAACCAAGCGTCCATGTAGCAACGAAGTAGAGTTCATCTGTCTCCATGTTCTCGCCATGAAAAGAGATAGTGTGGTCAGGAATATTCCCCAGCCGCCTTTACTTTCCTTAACATAAGTCAGGTATCCATCACAACAGGTGGATTCAAACTCGAGACTCTCGGGTTGGCAGTCGGATGCTAATACCATTCCACTTTACCGTCCCATACATGACAAGCAAGAAACTAATTTAAAGTGATATTATTTGTAAATACACATCCGACCTTGGGATAACAATACATAAACACACATGATTAGACTCAACTCACAGACACACTACCACTGTGTTCAAAACTTTTCTAAACTAACCTTCAAATGGCCCGTAACATAAATTATTTGTGTGGAAAAAATGTAAATAATTGATGACTTATATTTCTGTCTACGGAAAATCCAGAATCACCAAAAGACGTACTCCTGACCTGCTCTACACTGAATGCAACAGTCCCAGACTTCTGTGAAACTGCCGTGGAACGGTTCGCTTGTTTTCAGACTTGCGGCTTTTCACAGCAGATTTATACACCAGGTAATGAATAATACAGGAATATACATTTTCTCAGCAGATTCATAACTAGGTAATTCACAATACAGGAGTATAACTTTTCTCAGCAGATTTATATACCAGGTAATTCACAATGCAGAGATTATCCATTTGTATCGAGCATATTGCCCGTCTATTGGTTGATGCAAGGTGTTTAGGTTAACGATGTAAAATGATAGAGGGGGTTGGGGGGGGGGAACTAACCATTGCTTCTGTGAATAAGTAGGATGCACAGAGCAGTTTCCTGGTATCTGATTCTTACGAGACGTATGACCCAATGAGTGTAGGCTAGTTAATTTCGGGTTAAGCCCCTAGAGACCACATAATGCCACAGCCACAATCACATAGCAAATGCTGTTGGATGGATGCCCACAATCACAATCACACAGCTAGTAATGCTGGATTGATAACCACAATCACAATCACACAGCTAGAACTGCTGGATTGATAACCGCAATCACAATCACACAGCTAGTACTGCTGAGTTGATAACCACAATCACAATCACACAGCTAGTACTGCTGGATTGATAAACACAATCACAATCACACAGCTAGTACTGCTGGATCCGTTTCTGTCACATACATAGCACTGTTCACGTTAGTAATATTTTTAGTTATTTGCATTTACATCTCAGACTAAAAAGAAGAGTTCGCTCATTTAAATCAGAGATTACCGCATTCTAAATTGTTCTGTCTGTATTAATAGAATGCAGTTATCAGTATCTGATGTTCTGCTTTCCTTGTTTCAGTGTTAACTTATATATCGAATTATCTTGAGCTAGTTGCAATGATTCAATGATTTGACAGCCACATGCAGCCCACCCATCCTACCATCTGATGTGTACACCGCTGGAGGATTGAAGAGTGTGTACAAGGAAGGGGAGGTCATCAACGTCACTTGTACAACTTCCGGTTCTTTAGTCAACATCATCAGATGTACCAAAACTGGATGGTCGGGCCAAGCTCTTGCTTGTGACGGTATGATACAGTCAGTTCGTTCTTCTTCTTCGTTCTTAATTTTAGTGTTGGAAGGGATCCCCCTACAACACAATTAAGTAGACGTGTCAACTGGTTATAGCTTTAGTCCAACCTAGAACAAACTACAAGGCAGCAGTTGTTTGATTGCTAGAAAAGTGGCTGTCCCCAGCTAACGAGCCTCATCTGCCCGAGGGTTCGAACTCGAGACTTTTCGGTTTAGCATCCATGAACTTTACCGACTCGACTACGCCGACCCCATACAATCAGTTTATTTGTTCGCTATTTTTTTTGCGGCTAATTGTGCATGGTAATTATTAATTATTAATATTCGTAGTTGTCGGGTGGTTACGCGCATGTTTGCTACCCCGAAAGTTCCTCATACAAGTCCACGGATAGATGAGGCTCGTCAGCTGGAGCTAACAATCTATCTAGGAGAGGAAACTAAACATAAAATATAAACAGGAGCCAGTAAGGCGAAATGATTACCAACTTCGGTTTCCATTAAGCAGTTCAGGCAACAATGTTGATCAAAAGTTATACGGGTAAAATCATGTTTCTTGAGTACATGTCTGTACACTGTAGTGAGGCAAGTGGGGGGGGGGGGGGGGTCTGATGCATGAGCAACATCTGGCTCTTATCAACTTAAATGTTCAGGTTTCTGCTTGGATTTTCCAATGCGCAACCCTCCAATGGCCTCTTATCTAAGGAGCTAATAACCTGTTTATAGAACGTCATAATTGTTTTTCAATTTAAGTTTGATCGGTTTTTCCTTTAATGTTCTTAACTATTTAGCGAAGATTATAATATTCAAGATAAGTATGTAGTTTGCCAGGCTTAAGACCTAATCAGCTGTGACAAGATTAATGCTGGACAGTAGGGATTAACGAGCTCGAGCTAGTGTTCGATTGAAGCAAGTTTTTTTTTCTCTCAGTGTCAGACACCTGCTACGATAAAATCCCCAACTGCCAGAACGTCCTGACGTCATTCCCAGAGTTCTGTACTGACCCCAGGTCTGCCACGTCTGGTGAGATGTACTGCAAGAGGTCATGTGGTCACTGTCCAGGTAAGTTGTCTCACAAGGTCATGTGGTCACTGCCCAGGTAAGATGTACTGCAAGAGGTCATGTGGTCACTGCCCAGGTAAGATGTACTGCAAGAGGTCATGTGGTCACTGCCCAGGTAAGATGTGTTACAAGGTCATATGGTCACTGGCCAGGTAAGATGTGTGACAAGGTCATGTGGTCACTGCCCAGGTAAGATATGTCACAAGGTCATGTGGTCACTGCCCAGGTAAGATATGTCACAAGGTCATGTGGTCACTGCCCAGGTAAGATATGTCACAAGGTCATGTGGTCACTGCCCAGGTAAGATGTGTTACAAGGTCATGTGGTCACTGCCCAGGTAAGATGTGTCACAAGGTCATGTGGTCACTGCCCAGGTAAGATATGTCACAAGGTCATGTGGTCACTGCCCAGGTAAGATATGTCACAAGGTCATGTGGTCACTGCCCAGGTAAGATATGTCACAAGGTCATGTGGTCACTGCCCAGGTAAGATGTGTTACAAGGTCATGTGGTCACTGCCCAGGTAAGATGTGTCAAGGTCATGTGGTCACTGCCCAGGTAAGATATGTCACAAGGTCATGTGGTCACTGCCCAGGTAAGATGTGTCACAAGGTCATGTGGTCACTGCCCAGGTAAGATATGTCACAATGTCATGTGGTCACTGCCCAGGTAAGATATGTCACAAGGTCATGTGGTCACTGCCCAGGTAAGATGTGTCAAAAGGTCATGTGGTCACTGCTCAGGTAAGAAAAAAAGCTGACAGGTAATGCATATATTCGTATAATAAACCTGTCAGTATATTTTACACAATTATTTCTGATCTAGTGGAAGTACAGTCGATAAATACCTCATTACATAGAGATTTTAAATGCGTGGATGGCAAATATAGTCAGTTTTATTACTATCGTTATGGTACAGGCTATAAAAAAGTATTTGACTTTGAAAAGGGTTTGGATTTATTAAGGTGGTTTTTTTTTTCATGTTGATGCAGATATGCAACGAAAATATATTTAATCTGATTGTACATATTATTTTCAATATTTTGTATAATTTTGTAGGAGACAACCAGTGCTCTGATCCTGTAGGGATAACTTACACTCGAACATCTGAATCAGCTGTCATCTCCCCTGGTCAATCAATGACCTTCGAATGTCAAGATCATTTGTATCACGTGGGTGGTGACCTGCACAGGGCGTGTTCCACTTCCGGTACCTTGCTGGGATCAGAGCCAGTGTGTCTGGGTAGGTTTATTTAACTCTAGAACAATCCATGCACCATCCTGGAAGAGACTTGCTGTTTGAAAATTTGAAGAGTTGAAATTAATGTTTTGGGAGGTCATGTTAGTATAAACTATAACAAACAGCCTGGGTGTGTTATTTGTTATTGTTGACTGGGTAGCCGAATCTGATTGGTAACTGTAGACGTGAAAATAGAATAAAGCGTTGAAAAATTATTACGTATGGGTGTAGAGAATAAATGGACAGAGGGACGGTGATGGAAGCAGAGAGAGAGAGAGAGAGAGGGAGAGAGAGAGAGAGGGAGTTGGAATGAGGATAATTATGACATCACCTTGTAGAGACGGGGCAGGGGGGAAAAGGGTGTAGGACTGTCATTATTTAGTCAGGTTTTCTAAAAGGCGCAAATGCTTAATTTTTACTGCTTAATCTGGTATAGGAAGCGACGGTACGGGGGTAGGATTATCTAGTTGAGTTTTAAACTTGATTACGCTGCTAAAAACATTTCCCAAAGTAGAGATTTGTAAATAAGTTACAAAAGGCTGTTGTAAGAAGTTATGCTGTTATGTTGTTTAAGGTCTGGTTTTGTTGGGAATTGGAATAATTTGTTAATGAGGATTGAAAGGTTATAAAGGGGACGATACTTTTTAATTCAGTAAATATAAATAGTATTAAAAATAATATAAACATATATAGGGAATATATATATATATATATATATATATATATATATATATATATATATATATATATATATATATATATATATATATATATATATATATATATATATAATAAAAACACATTGTATCCTTAGTTGGAAAAATAATGCTATCGTTTAATAATGCAAAATCAAATGTTACTATCCATGTGAAAAGCTGTAAATGAAACTTCTCTATACCTAGCTACCCCAGTGCCTGTTGATATACATCTTGAAAAAGTTAGGTCACGGAAGGCAACACTTAAGCAAAATTTGGCATTTTTATTGGACGTGGATGGCTACAGGCTAGTAATTTCTTATTACTGATTCGTGGCTTTCTTTATTCATGTTTCCTGATCACTTAATATGTTAGCTTTCTTGAAATGTTTGCATACTAGCTAAAATATACCGGGAGTGATCCAACCTAAACTTTCTCGAATATCTAATATATAAAGTTCAATTCTGTATGTAACATGTTTGTAAAATAATTGTTTGTAAAATGTTTGTCGTGGATACTTCAATGGATTTAAGTTTTAGATTATTATAGTGCTCATTCTGTTTATCCGTATCAGTGAGGTGTAAAACGTCGAGACTTGTAAAAATCTCGATTTTTTTTTTGCACGATTACAAGACTTTCTCTATACTTCGTATTTACGAGAAAGTAAAAAAATCAATGAATATGTATATGTCTTTTTAAAATGATATTGCAATTTGTTTCAACAGAATTCCTTTTAATGGTAAAGTCACCAGATGGTATTACTATTGTCAGAATTATGGTTTATTGAACTTTATCGTTTTTAGAAGATCTGGGTGAGAAATATTTTATTCTTGTCTAACTAATGTACCTCAACTAATTAAGCAAGGTGCACAACCTAATTACCTCGTAACAAAGTAATTCAGCTGTTTTACATGTTGCTCTCTCTCTCTCTCTCTCTCTCTCTCTCTCTCTCTCTCTCTCTCTCTCTCTCTCTCTCTCTCTCTCTCTCTCTCTCTCTCTCTCTCTCTCTCTCTCTCTCTCTCTTTAGTCTTTCACTTTCTTGACTCTTTTATTTGAAAGATTCGTCTTTAGACCTAACTATCCATTGAGTAGATGAAGTAGAGTTCATATGTTCTTGATCTCGTTATATAAAGGAATAATGTTGTCTGCACGATTACCAGCCGCCTTAACTTCAGTTCGGTACCAATCACAGCTGGGTAGACTAAGAGACCATATTCGATCTCGAGACTTTGAGAAATCAGTCTAACGCTCTACCTCTATACCAAGCTCATTCACTCTTCTAGTTTACCATAATAAAAATATTTTCTATTCACACAGTCTATTACAAGCCTTAAACTTCTTTTTCTTCTTCGTTCTTAATTATTAGTGTTGAAGGGGGTCGAGATTTATCTGCCAGTGGGTTTTAACTCGAGACTTTTTTCGAATTTATCAACCATGAACTTTTTGCCGACTCGACCACGCTTTCAACACAATTAAGCGTTACGTGTCAACTGGTTATGCGCCATTGAGGCCATTGACTCCGATTTCAGCCTGCTTTTCTTTTTGGATTTGCTTCCATAGCCTTTGTCCAACCAAGAACAAACTACAAGGCAGCAGTTGTTTAATTTTGGAGTTAAGCCTTAAACAAATTCTTTGTTCTAAACCTTCACCACTAATTAAATAATACCCCCCCCCCCCCCTCAGTACCACATACACATACGTGGGCTCAAACAGTGTGAGATGCGAGCCAAAATGGAGGAGGACATACAATGTACCTTTAGATAACCAGATTGATGTTTTTGAGGTAAGTTGGCTCATCAAAACTAATTAACTGTTGTTAATTAAGAAAAGAAAACTTTCAACCACGTTTAAGAAAATGACGTATATACAATCTGAATTTTTAAAACTACATATATATATATATATATAGATATATATACATATATATATATATATATATATATATATATATATATATATATATATATATATATATATATATATATATATATGTGTGTGTGTGTGTGTACAAATGTATATATATATATATATATATGTATATATGTATGTATATAAGCCTATATATGTATATAAATAAATATATATATATATATATATATATATATATATATATATATATGTATATATATATTATATATATATATATATATATATTTTATATTAATTTTATATTTTATGTATACATAATAAACTAAATTTGTTTCTGGTACAAGAACGACATTTTTGGCGCCTTTTCTCACGTCTCCACGACGCTTAGCGTCACTGACTGTGACGACGCAGAAGTACAAATCCTCTCATTGCCAGCTATGAACATCTCTTCCACGGATGACCTTAGGTCAGCGACAGGTGACATATTTCAAGGTCGTAAATGTGCGGTACCCTCCCTCGGTCTTAGAGTAGAACCGTGAACATGTTTGATGTTTCTTCTCTTTGGTAAATAAAATTCGTGTAAATATTTTTGGTAATACAGGTATCTTTGTTTTATTTTAATTTTTTTTCCTGTTTAGTTTTGACGAGTTTGTGTTTGATTGAAATGTGCGTAACAAACTGATATGTGGTCGGGGGACTAAGGTGGTTGGATATTAGCGCTTTCAACTACAAACCGGAAAGTCTCGAGTTTGAATCTCGGACTCGAGTCTGTTGGACATTTTTTATTCCACCCAGCCCTGTTAGGTACCTGACTCATTGTTCGGGGACGTATGTATCTTTCTGACCACACTTTCCCCTGTGTGACGAGGTCATTGAAACAGACGAACTCATGGACTTAATTGACTTGACTTAGTCCTCTTTGCTCCTTATGGAAAAATAGTGCCTTAACCATTTCCTTCCATTTCATCCGATTCCCGACTATTAATTTTGCCGTCTTCCAAGACATCCCTGTTGGCTCCAGTTCTTCAAGAAGACTCCGCCTCCAGGTCTGTTTTGGGCGCCCTCTTTTCCGCTTTCCCTGGGGGTTCCACTCAAGCACTTGGCGTGTAACATTTGGGTGAGACTTCCGTAGCGTATGTCCCACCAAGCGCCACTTCCTCCTTCTTATTTGCACACCCATTGGCTCCTGCCTAGCTTTCCTCCATAATTCTATGATCGGCACAAACTCATGGATCAATAGTTTATTTCACTCGCCAACAAGAAAACATGCGCCTGCGTTAACCAACAGCTAGTAAAAACGCTGAGCACAATATTGGCGCATCAATTTCAAATTCATTAATCTAATTATTCATCACCAATTCCTCTTGTTTATTTTAAGTATTTTTTATTTCTGTTAAAAGGCAAATCTATTCTAAAAACATTCGGTTTAATATTTTAAATTTTTTTTTCCTAGAAAGACGCAACTGTCCTAAATATTTGAGCATGGGAAGCCGATTCCATTTAACCCACCCTATGCATACGCCACTGGCGAGCTAGGAGTTTGTAGTTAAAAGTTGTCAGACAAAACGAATTTTTTTTTAGTATTTACAGTAGTACCTCAAAATACGAATTTAATTAGATACGTAGCATTGCTCATATGTCAAATTGCTAGTATCTCAAAGTAATTTTCTCCATTAAAATATCACAAAATGCCACCCAGTTGGTTTTGATACAAGCAAATTGTATATGTAAAAAAAAATATTATTTATAAACATAGTACAGCATAATGCAAAAAAATAATAATAATATGCTTTATGGGAAAAAAATTTGGAAACATTTGGAACTAGCTTTTCAAGTCTATTGCATTGTAATTGTGCAAGAAATCTTATGCACAGACTAACTTGAGTAACTTTACAGTTATGTTGATGAACTTTTATACACAATTATTGTATCAAATTTTTAGTTTCATGTCAACATTTGAACGCTTTCCGGTACACGAAAATGTTACTTATTCTACTTCCGGGTTCTCAAAATTTCGATAACTTGAGTACCGTTAGGTGAACATAATAATACGAGCCGGCCCGCGGCATATCATACGCCGCTATTTAGTTTTTTTTTTTTTTTTCTCTACTTTTCAGTAATTCATAATTTGTGAATTCGACGGTACCAACGCTGCCACTGAAAATATTTTTTTAAAACACTATAAGTAGCACGTTAAGGACCGTACCCCCCCTTCCGTCCCCCCCCCCCCTTCCCTACGTTTAAAATAGTTTCTAACTAAATTATCTGCCCCTAATAGTCGTCACTAAACCCGGCTCTGCTTGTAAAAATTTAGTGAACACAGCTCACTAAGACCATGTAGGGGTGGGGGTGGTAGGGGCGCGTTTACAGCTTGTTTTCTAGCGTCTCCCAGAAGAGAATTATATATATAGACGAGCCGACCCGCGGCATATCATACGCCGCTATTTAGTTTTTGTTATTTCTACTTTTCAGTAATTCATAATGTGTGCGTTCGACAGTACCAACACTGCCACTGAAAATATTTCTTTAAAACACTATAAGTAGCTCGTTAAGGACGATAACCCCCCCCCCTCCGTTACAGTAAACTCCACTTAGTTACCACCCCCTCCCCTACGTTTAAAATCATTTCAAACTAAATTATCTGCCCCTAATAGTCGTCACTAAACCCGGCTCTGCTTGTAAACAGCGTGAACCACAGCTCACCAGACCATGTAGGGGTGGGGTGGTAGGGAGCACGCTTACAGCTTGTTTTCTAGCGTCTCCCAGAAGAGAATTATATATATAAGCCGGCCCGCGGCGTAACATACGCCGCTATTTAGTTGTTTCTAATTTTCAATAATTCGACAGTACCAACGCTGACACTGAAAATATTTCTTTAAAACACTATAAGTAGCTCGTTAAGGACCATAACCCCCCCCCTTCCTCCCCCCCCCTCCCTCCCCCCTACGTTTAAAATCGTTGGCTCTGCTTGTAAACATTTAGAGTGAACACAGCTCACTAAAACCATGTAGGGGTGGGGAGGTAGGGAGAGCGTTTGCAGCTTGTTTTCTAACGGCTCGAAGAGGAGAATTATATATATAGATAGATATTCATATAAAAGTTTTGTAGTGAATGCGCTAGTTTCTGTTTACTATTGAACGATTTTCGGTAGCAAGAACAGATAATGTATTCTAGTTCCGCGTGAACACTATCATTATTTGTACTGTTTTAGTTAGGTAAGGGTAAGGTTATACTGTATTTTATACATTGAGTAGTGCTAATAGGGGGCTATCGATATTTAGAAGTAGTCATTTACTTAGATGAAACCGGCGTCTTTTCCTTCTCTAAGGAGACTAATTAAAATAAGTTACATCATTACAATAAAAATAATCAATTAAAAAAAACACCTTAATTTGCGTTTGCTTTTATTGTTCCGTGTTTGTTTACATTATTATGAACGTGCATCAATATAATATAATAATCAATTTTAAAAGTACGGGATCATTATGTAATAGTTATTACACGTCTGTATATTGAGTTTAGTTTTGGGTAAGTGTGTGAAACCTTTGTTGGACTGTGTGTGGTGGGTTTTGTTTGGAACTCCTATTGGAATGTGTGGGGTGGACTGTGTATTTGGAATAGGTTGAGAAGGCATGAAGACGACGAAAATAATTATAAAAAATATATATAATCGTATTTTAGAAAACCCACAAAAAGACTGTAACAGGTCTTTTAATAATCAAGCATAGTCTAAGCACTCTTAGATGGAACAAAGAATTCTACTGTCATAGCCTTCATACTCCCCAGCTTTCTCCAACGTCCTCCATCTTACACATCTAACCAACGGCAATAAGTCCACTTTCAATTTGTTATGTTATATAAGTAAACCATATTTTTGAGTACATTAGCCAAGATTCTTGCCGTTGACGAAGACTCAGTCAATTTAATTACCCATAACGATTTCTTAGGACAAAATCTAAACGATTAAATTAGTCATCAGACCCAGCTAAACAAGCACGCTATGTTAGAATTGGTTAAACAAACACGTTTCATTACAACCAGATAAACAAACACATGTTTCATGAGAACAACCTAAACAATCAAATGTTTTATGAAACCAAGAGAAATAATGAAAAAATCTAGCTCAACAGCAACGTTATAAGTAGCTAAATTATCACATATTTAATTAAATCACATGTTTCGCTAGACCTAGCTAACGAACAACGTATTAAGCAGCTAAATTACCACATTTTTGATTAGATAGCTGAACAGCCACACGTTCGACTAAAACCAGTCTTTGTTTAGTAGTTCTATAGACTTGACAAGTGCGTGCATTAGTCCAATACACATAATGATTGGATCTGTAGAAAAAAATACAATGTTTATATATCTATATTTTCTTAATTAGCGCATTTTAAAGGAATCATTTTTAAGTTAGTTAAACATCTAATGATGTGCATCGCTTGAAGTTTGAAACAAATCAGTCCGGCAGAAGTGGAATTTTTTTTAGAAAATAAATTTGGTAAAGTACTACTTTCTGTCACCGAAAATCACCCAAAATTGGACGCAATCAAGAAAATAAGATCTGTAACTAAACTTTAGTTTATCTAACAGAAATGGTTCTTGTAGTATATATATTTTATAAGGGTAACGGAGGTCACTAAACATTTGAAAGTAATCCAAGTGCATGATCTTATACTTATGTTTGAAAATCAGTCTACATAAGTGAAACAATATTCAGGTCAATAAGTTCCTAGGAAACAGAGCAACGTACCACTTCCGCTTAAATAAAATCGCACTAAAGTTGAAAGGAACATTCAAATGCAATATAATACTTATATTTGGAAATATGTCAGCTTAGCTTTTATAGTACTCAAGTTCAGTGGCGTAGCGAGGTCGTGTGTCACCCGGTGCGGCACTTAATGGTGTCACCCCCAGAGGCGTGGCGACCCTTCCCGAGGACAAACTTTCAATTTCGATTGGCACCCCCCATCCCCCCCCCCTCAAACTTTCGATTTGCACCCCCCCCCTCAAACAAATTTTTCTCTCTATATTTTGTTTTTTTATTTGCCTTGTTGTCACCCCCTAAATGGTGTCACCCGGTGCGGTCCGCAACCCCCGCCCCCCTCGCTACGCCTCTGCTCAAGTTAACAGCTTTTGAAGGACCCAAAATAGAGTACGTATCAATTACTAACAAAATTAAAAAATTGATTTAATCCTTCTATATGAAATTTTGAGCGATTTCTTGTAACACCCTATGGTCAAACAATGTTCAAAGCCCCGCTGTGGTCAAAACCTGAGTGGTCAAAGCCCTTGTGGCCAAAGCCCTTATGACTAAAGCCCTTGAGGCCAAAACATATGTGACCAAAACCCTTGTGGCCAAAACATGTGTGGCCAAAGCCCTTGTGGCCAAAACATGTGTGGCCAAAGCCCTTGTGGACAAAGCCCTTGTGACTAAAGCCCTTGAGGCCAAAACCTGTGTTGCCAAAGCCCTTGTGGCCAAAACATGTGTGGCCAAAGCCCTAGTGGCCAAAACCTGTGTAGCCAAAGCCCTTGTGGCCAAAACATGTGTGGCCAAAGCCCTTGTGGCCAAAACATGTGTGGCCAAAGCCCTTGTGGACAAAGCCCTTGTGACCAAAGCCCTTGTGGACAAAGCCCTTGTGACTAAAGCCCTTGTGGCCAAAACCTGTGTTGCCAAAGCCCTTGTGGCCAAAACATGTGTGGCCAAAGCCCTAGTGGCCAAAACCTGTGTTGCCAAAGCCCTTGTATCCAAAACATGTGTGGCCAAAGCCCTTGTGGCCAAAACATGTGTGGCCAAAGCCCTTGTGGACAAAGCCCTTGTGACCAAAGCCCTTGTGACCTAAACCCTTGTGACCAAAGCCCTTGAGGCCAAAGCCCATGTGGCCAAACCACATGTGGTCACAACACAAACAACATATTCCTTTTTTAAACAATTATAGAAAAGCACTATATTGGATTAGTGTTCTAAAAATTACAGATACTATGCCAGCCTAAATCAACCATTTGCCATTTTATCAGACAATATAAAACGAACTTTGGCAGACGAAGGTTCACCTACCTGCCTGCAAGTGGAGCTCTCCATCCGTGGTGGCCAACAATTCACTCGTTATTATTATTTTTACTCCCGCTGTAAGCAGATATACATAGGACATGGCACAAATGAAGTTGAAGTAAAAACTCTAGTGAAAAACTAAGACGACAAAACATAATAAACAACATTTCGCTGGCAACATTAGTGGACAATATATTACATTATTTTAAAAGACAATTTGAAAGATGTTATAGACGATTATTCTTATCACAATGTAGCCCTACACATAATATACAACAAACGTAGTCTGACAGTGGAGCTTGATAAATAATGACACCTTTAAAAGATTAATTCAATTTCTATTGAGAAATTCTACACATAATATCTGACTGTTTTAAGCCTGGTACGATATGATGGTGGAAGAGACAAGTTACTTGTAAACAGACAATCAAAACACAGAAACAACCAATGGCCTTTTCGTTCAGGCATTTCATTATACATAATTTTAGAATCTTTAAAATAATTCTTCTAATCTCTAACGTTTAAGCTAAACATTTAGCTTTTAACTTCAATCCATATAAAGGTAGATGTAAATTATGAGTTTCAGGGTAATATTTACTACTGATACTAGTTTGAAAATATGATTTTTTTTCCCCATTAGATAGTTGAGGGCATTTAAGAAAACATCATCTTCGTTACGTGATGATTTTAAGAGACTTAAATTTCAATCAAAAAGTTGTCAATGTTCATTATGTCAAAGGAGAAATGCTTTTGTTCACGAATGTTTACCAACAGTGTCTGTTATATGTTGTTTAGTTACACAATTTAAAGATCCAAACACTATTGTAAGCTGCGGGGTAAAAAAAACGTCTGCCAAGTTTGAAAAAATAAAAATCCTCTACGCCACGATGTATGCTTTTTGTTCTCACGATACTTGACCGAACTTTAATCTTAGTAAAATATGAATACGAATTTTTTTTTTCAATATGTGTATTCCTCCAACTCGTTCATATATTTTTTTATTACTTTACATTTTTACCACACAAATAAAAGATCTAGCCACCGAAGTCTTGTCGGAAAAATCAACATTATTTGAGGTGAGTTGATATTGATATTTGACTAGAATAGCAAAGCTACGGCCACACAAATACAAATCACTCCCACAACCACACACAAATACAAATCACTCCCACAACCACATACAAATACAAAACAGACCACAAACCACTCACACAACCACATATAAAACACAAAACAGATAGAACACAAACCAACTACACAACCACACAACCACACACAAATACAAAACAGAACCACAAACCACTCACACAACCACATATAAAACACAAAACAGATAGACCACAAACCAACTACCAACCACACAAGCACACACAAATACTTAACTGATAGTCCACAAACCACTCACACAACCATACACAAACACAAAACAGATAGACCACAAACCACTCCCACAACCACACACAAACACAAAACAGATAGACCACAAACCACTCACACAACCACACACAAACACAAAACAGATAGACCACAAACCACTCACACAACCACACACAAACACAAAACAGATAGACCACAAACCACTCACACAACCACACACAAACACAAAACAGATAGACCACAAACCACTCCCACAAACACACACAAATACACCCGATAAACATAAAATATAAGCATATAATATACTCTAAGAACTATAAACAGAGCGGAAGCAAGCATTTGTTGTGACGGCATATCAATTTAAGGTCACATATCGTCCAATTAACAGGAGATAGAAAAATGGTGTTGTTTTCTAATAACTGGCTTGAACAAAAAACATGGCTACGCCACTGAGATGATCAGGACTTACCTGGCGGATTTGAAACATCGAAGTATGCGCTGATGTTGTAGGGTATCGGATTATACGGGTTGATTTCGAAGGCTGCTAAACGGTACCACGATTCCGCATACCCGGGACGGAATCTGAATCTCAAAGGGTTGCTTTTATCCTCACAGTAGCAGTGATCGTCGTTACTCAGTTGTCGGCACGCGGTGGAATAACAGTTTCCCGAAAAAAAACATTCCTGAAAACGAAACAACATCACATATGTATATGAATCAATTGATGAAAATTGTATGTATGCTATAGCATACTATGTAGAGTTATTTAAAAGATATTCGTATTTATAACTTGTTTCATAGGTAATTATTTTTTTAACGGTATTCCTCTGCGAATAGTCTCAAAAAAATAATGGAATTTGACATAAAATTGTGCAAATTTTGTGGTTTAAATGTATAGTAAAAGAACTATCTCTTTATATATATATATATATATATATATATATATATATATATATATATATATATATATATATATATATATATATATATATATATATATATATATATATATATATATATATATATATATATATAATAATAATAATATATATATATATATATTCTCTTAAGGATCTCATAAGCTGGCAGCTGATTTGCCTGCTTCCATAGCATGGCATTTCTGATAGTTTTAGGTCTGCGTATTCCAGGGATCGTTCTGAGGCATGAGTTGTTTTCTTTTAATTTGTGGCATTTATTCTCTATGTCTTAGCTGCATATAGTAATAAAATACTTTAAAAAAAAACTTTTTAAAAAACCACGTTTTTCTTGTGGACTAAAAAGTAGAAAATAAATTTTCATACATTTGATGACAAAAAACGTGGGTACGTTCACCATCAAATTTCCCGACCCATTTGCCCGACCCACGTTTTTTGTCATCAAATGTATGAAAATTTATTTTCTACTTTTTAGTCCACAAGAAAAACGTGGTTTTTTAAAAAGTTTTTTTTAAGTATTTTATTTTCTCCTTTTTAGTCCGTTGCTACACATGAAAAACGTGGTTTTTAAAAAAAGTTTTTTATATAGTTTATTTTCTACTTTATCCAATTGTATGACTTGACTAAGTGTTTATAAATACACGGACTAAAAATCTTGAGCGACCAGGATTCGAACCTGGGTTGTCGCAGCCACAACGCGAAGTACTAACCACTATACGATCACGGCCAGCGCGCTCACATCGTTTGGGGCCGAAGTAACTGTGTCAATAGGTCTTCAGTCTTGTCGGTATCTTTAGAAATCATGTCCTCAATTTTATGGTCCTTAGGGCGTAATTAAATTAAGCTAATTACGGTCTCTAATTGCTATTTTTTATGATTGCATCTGAAATTGTTAGGCGAAAGTAACCTGCATGCCTAATTTCAGATCTATAGAGCAATCAGAAGTGGGCTAATTTTCGATGTCAATTTTAACAACAAACACATCCACAAACGCGAAGCTGAGTTAAGAAAAACGTGTTAAAAAGGTCTTACTAGTGTGGTTAAGACTAGTATTTGAATTCTAAGAGTAAGATCTCCAGAACTCCAAACATTATTAGCTGGCTGTTGACTGCTTGTGGCCTGCTCTTACTTATTTGTATGCCTGCTGCTGCCCCGTCTTGCTTAACAACAATAGGGCTGGTAAGTAGGTCTCCAGCCAGTTATATGGCTCACGCAGGTTTTATTAAGCCGTATAACTGGTTGGTGACCTACTCACCAGCCCTATAATCGTCTGGCAATGTAATGTGAGTGCTGATTGTGAAATGACTTTGATAACTTTACTTTTACCACTGTAGATGGTCAGGCCCAGAAAATATTATTTATCATAACAAGTGAGGTACTGTGATATAGGCCTATTTTTTAAAAAAAAGATGTGTATCTGTGTAAATGTCATTCAACCAGTGGCGTAGCGAGGTCGGGTGTCACCCGGTGCGGCACTTAATGGTGTCACCCCCCCAGAGGCATAGAGACCCTTCCCAGGGACAAACTTTCAAATTTTCGATTTGCACCCCCCCCTCAAACTTTCGATTTGCACCCCCCTCCTCGAGTTTTCGATTTGCACCCCCCCCCCCCCCTCAAACTTTCGATTTGCACCCCCCCCTCGAGTTTTTCTCTATATATTTTGCAATTTTTTGCCTTGGTGTCACCCCCCTAAATGGTGTCACCCGGTGCGGTCCGCACCCCCGCCCCCCCCCTCGCTACGCCCCTGCATTCAACAACATTACAATAGCGATGACGAGCAAGATACGTTAACAAGAAAACAGAGAGCAATTGCTATGTTTACATTTCTCCTTACCCACGTTCTAAATATAAAAAAGACTTGTATATTTAGACTGAGATAGCAGTCTCAAGTCATCAAAACAATCAATATAGACTTACGTAGAAATAAAATGGTTACCTAAACCATCAATAAAGACAGATCTAGCAAAATAAAACAAATCAACAATAGACAGATTAAGTAATCAAAAAGTTTAATAAACCATCAATAAAAAAAAAGCACACTATAAAAAATAAACCGGTAGTGATCTCCCCTTAACTTTCTCGAATATTCTTATATAAAATAACAGGTGATGGTAACTCGGGATATAGTTATGATTTTTAATCAAATTCAAATATTTAAACTTTTTAAAATAGAATAGAATCTCATTAAAAAAATTGCGCACCAAGCGAACGCCGAATAAAGATGTGTATAAAAATGCGGAATATTATTAGTACTTTATAAATTCACACGCGTTTTTTGAGAAATCGGAAATAGCGTAAATTAGTGCTTCCGCTCAACTGAAATTACTCAAAATTTGACAGAAGGTAGAGATATAGATCTTTTACTTACATGTGCAATTTCATTTATCTATCTGAAATAGTACTCAAGTGATAGGCTTTAGAAAATTCCAAGTAGAAAAGGTAACACTTCCGTTTATCGGAATTCGCTCAAACGTTGATACGGATCTACGATTTTGATAAAATACTTATATATACAATTTCATCAACCTAGCTGTAACGGTACTCAAGTTATCGTGTTTACACACAGACAGACACACACACACATACACACACAGACATACGGACAAGATTGCAAAATTATGTTTTTCCGTATCAGTGAGGTGTAAAACGTCGAGATTTGCAAAAAATCTCGATTTTTTTTTGCACGATTACAAGACTTTCTCTATACTTCGTATATACGAGAAAATAAAAATTCAACGAAAATTACCAATAAAGTGAGAGCTAGCAAACAAAATAATTAACAAAATCACCATTAAAGACAGATCTAGCAATCAAATAGTCAAAAAAAAAAAAAAGTCAATACAAACAAAGACTAAGACAGCAATCAAATGATTTCCAAAATCATTATTACCATACACCCTTCACATATACTAATCTTATAATCCGTCACAACTTGCAGATTCACCTGCCTATCACATCTGATAATACCTAAGCAATACAACACGCTGAACTCACCGATTGCCAATTAGGCGAATACCGCGAACAATCATTTCTTACGTAACAATGCTCCAAGAAAATCCCGAAGCAACCCCTCCATTTGGAGAAATCGCCCGCGATGTTTCCGTAAATTCGACCTGTGTAGCCACATTTGCTGGAACCTACGCAGTCTCTTTCAAATCCCAGGATTACCATCTTTAAAGGAGCAGCGCTGTGAGTAGAATCTGCAGCAATAAATCATGTTATTATTGGACGACCAAGATTTCCTCTAATTTAGAAATACTACAGTAAGAAAAAATGCGTATTATTGTTACATTAAAACTCCCCCCCCCACCAAATCGTTAAATAATCAAACACTGTTACCTACCTATAAAACATGCGATAAAAAAAAGAAGAATGGAAATTTTAAAGTGATTGCACATCATTTATTCCAGTAGAAGAATCTGCATATAAAAAATGATTAATTATATTTTTTAAAAGTTTGTTAACTGAGATTAATTATAAGTTTGTCATGGAAAACAAATGCGACATAAATTCGTAAAATGTTAGAATTAATAAAAAAATTTAGCATTATAATTTTAACGAAAACTAGATCTAGTTCTAAACAATGTTTAGTTTTGGTCAGTTTAGGTAAAATAATTAGATCTAGATCTAGATATTTAGATCTAGTCTAGACTTCATTGTTTAGTCTCCAACTATGGGCAAATACCTTTATTGATGACTAAGGGTTAACTTGATACATTATTTTGGCTTTATTAGAACTATGTAAAAAACGCTAGCTAATGTCAAAACATTCAGCGAATATAATATAATTAGCATACTTTTATTTTTCACTTAATTTCAAACCTACTTTCTCAAACATGTATTGACACCAGAATGAAAAATCGCCATTTTTGTTTACACACTGACGTTGTGCGCATAAACTCGACAAATGGCGCTATGAGAATCAATTTGGTTCGAGCGTATAAAATCTTCCCATTCTATGGCACACCGCCTTAAACAATGGGATGACTTGTGACCCACATAGCTACACTGGCAGGAACCTAGTGCCCCTCCCCATTCATCCATGCCATTTTTAGGGACTTTACCTAATATTGTGCCCTGGTCCTACATGCCTAGTGCTGTATAGTTGGCTAAATAATTGTTTACGTAAACCAAATCACAGATACCTAACACACATTCAAATCTGAAGTGACCCCACTCTTGTTCAACCAAATCGCCAAGGAAGTTACGTGTCCGACGCCCATGTTCAACCGAGAAAAACGTAGATGTAGGCCACAAAAAACGTTGGCATAAAAAAACATCATCATAGTTATATGAACAAGAGGATGTTTTGGAAATCTGGGAGATGTGGGGGTTGTAGGCAGATATGCCTGTAGGCAGATGTGCCCGTAGGCAGATGTGCCCAACAGAAGCCTTGAGAGTGCTGACATAAACACTTTAGTGCGTAAGGGCGCGCAGACAGCTAACAAAAGGCTGTTGTAAAAAGTAATGGAGTCGTGTCGTTTAAAACTTAGTTGTGAATCGGAATAATTAGTTATTAGTATTGGAAGGGGGTTATATTAATAGCGACTTATTTTAATTCAGTAAATACAAATGGTATAACAAAAAATGAAAATTATCCAGCGAGTACGCATATATATATATATATATATATATATATATATATATATATATGTGTGTGTGTGTGTGTGTATCGGCGGACTAGTCGCACCATCCTAATTTCGCTTAAGACGTCCGATGAAAAATTAAGGAGACACTTTAATATTTTTATGACGAATTATATCTGCTGACCAACAAACCTAGTGAAATCGAACATAAACTAGAGTGAGTATGTCAGTCATTGCGTTTTTACACTGTTCGGTGTAATGTTTGCCTGTATTTCTAAACGCGCCAATGCTGTAGTCGTTTTGCGTATAGTGTTGTAAACGTTCCATGGTGCTGTTAAAATCTCTCAGACAATAGGCGCCTTTGTTATCCAACATTTTGTATAGAAGCTGACCACAGGATAGGCTCGTCTATTGCACTTTTATTAATTTAGTTATTCATCACCCATGTTCTTGCTTGTTTTAATTATTTCTTTTTGCTTTCTCATATACCGATTATAAAGAATGAATTGTGATCTTGCTGAAAAAGTAATTAAAATGGTAATAGTTTTTGCCATTTTACATGTTTATAGTTTATCCATTCGAAAAATATAGAATGGATTGTAATCGTGCAGAAATTTTAATTGAGGTTTTGAGTACCGTTTCAGTTATGGTGACCGAATTTCATATCTGAGTATTATATCAAATTTTATTTCCTCTTTTAAACGATTTCCGGTAACCAAAAGTGTACGTAGTTTACTTCTTGTCTCTTAAAACCTATAACCGAAAAGTACCATTAATGTTAAGGGACGGAGTGGCGTAGCGGTAGAGAGCTAGACTGCTAACCGCAAGACTCGAGTTCGAATCAGGGTTCAAATTAGTAGACCGTCCCTGAGTCCACCCAATTCTGATGGGTACCTAACTCACGTTTGGGAAAGTAAAGGCAGCTGGGGATAGGGCTGACCACACTATCCCTTCATATGCCGAGGTCACAGAAACAGGTGAACTCTACTTCACTTGCCCCATAGACCGCCAGGTTTCAATGGGAACTTTAGATTTGTGTGCAGGGGTCTGTCAAATTTTGAAATATATCTGGTATTCGGAAATGGTTCTTTACTTAATTTTCACTACAAACACATTAGCTTAAGGACTGTTTCAATTATTTAGACGAAATTTCACATGTAAGATCGTATACTTATTTCACATTCAAATATGTATTGACTTCCGATAACCGAAATTATAATTCATTTACTGATTTATACAATGTTCCCAAAAAAGGCGCAACTGTCTTAAAAAATTATCGAATGCAGAGTCACTCTTCTTGACAGACTTTAAATACAAGTAGTTTAAAATTGTTTAGTTTCATATCAGCAACTTTTTAGGGGTCGGCGTGGTCGAGTCGGTAAAGCTCATGGTTTCGATTTGGAAACAGCAGCTCTTCTAGAAGAGACAACTCCAAAATCAAACAACTGCTGAATTGTAGTTTGTTCTTGGGTTGACAAAGGCTATGGAAGCAAATACAAAAAGAAAAGCAGGTTGAAATGGGAATCAACGGCCTATATTGCGCTTATTCAGTTGACACGTAATATTTAATTGTGCTGGAGGGGATCCATTCCAACACTAAAATTAAGAACGAAAGAGAAGAATGTCAACTTTTGAGCGCTTTCCAATAAATGGGATTGCAACTTGCTCTACTTCCGGGTTTTAAAAAAACAATAACTTAAACACCGTTTATTTGGACAGAATTGTATAAAAAGTATTACATTGAACGCGTAGATTTCTGTCATCTTTTCGCGTTAACAGAAAGTGCTATTTTATTTCCGTGTGAACTCTACTACATGAGAACTATTTACGTTAGGTTACATAGAATTCATATAAATTAAAATTACGTATAATTTGAGTATTTGTTGTTTTTGAGGGACTTTTTGTATTCAGAAGTGGTCCTTTACTTAAATGAAACTGTTGTTTCCTTCTCTAAGCAGAGTAATTAAAATACGCTACATTATTACAACAAAATACTCAATAAAAAAACATTTTTTTGCAATTGCCTTTATTGTCCAGTGTTTGTTTACATTATTGTTAATGTGTATTTGTATATTGAACAATCTATTTTGAAAGTTACCTGATCATTATGTAATACTTATTTTAATGTTGTTTTATCCCTTTACAAAAAAAAAAGATCCTACACCAGCGATGTGAAACACGTCTGTGTGTAAGTTCATTTATTTACGAGAAAATGTGTGGAACAATTGGTGGGCCGTATGTTTTTATGTATTGAGAAGGCATTTAGAAGATAAAAATAAAACAAAAACATATTTTTGAAAACCCAAAAAACAACTATAGTTAGGACCGACAAAAGATGTTTTCGTCGGTTAATCAATTTTAGTTTAAAACGCACTTAGATGGAAATAAAAATACATGTCAAAACCTTACTCTACCCTTAACTTCCTCTATCCTACACCTCTGACTGACGGCAATAACTCCTCTTTCAATTTGTTGCTATATTCTATTAGTAAACCATATTTTCAGTACATTACTACAGGATTCTTGTTGTTGAAGAAGATTAAGTAAAATAAATTAACCCCAAAATGACTTTTAAACTATCAGATAATTCATCATTGATGTCTGCACAACGATACGTATTTATTAAACCTAGTTTATCTATCACAAAAGTTTTTTTTTTAGAGTTAGCAAAATAATCAAATATCATTATTGGAATTTAGCTCAACAACATTTTTAGAGCTATATTACAACACTTCTGATGAAATAGCTAATCATTCGCACGTTGGACTAAATTATATCTTTGATTCGCATTTCCATGGACATGATCAAAGCGTACAGCACTCCCATGAACATAATGACCGGTTCTGTGGTAAGAGAAAATAGTTGAATACATAAACATCATCTAGTCTTCTATGGTGGAATATGGTTAATGTATACTAATGTATATGCACTTGACAATTTTACGAGCTATATTTTCAAAAATCATGTTGGCAGAAAGCGATTACAGAATAGGAGTGACCTCTCTGCCTGAGTCCACCCAGCTCTAATGAGTATCCAAGACAAGTAAGGGAAAGTAAAGGTGAGCATAGTGCTGACCACTTCTTTACTTTAAATGGCTAGGTCAAGAAACATGTGAACTCTACTTCATCCACTCTATTGAAAATGGGAATTTTAACTAGAAGAGAAAAAAAAAAATAAATAAATAAATATATATATATATATATATATATATATATATATATATATATATATATATATATATATATATATATATATATATCGCTAATCTCTGTTCAAACGTTTTTTTAAAGTTCTAAAAAAACTTCTTATAAATGTTTGATGATTTAATGTGTTTCATTTTTACTTTCTCGGATATACTAAGTATAGAGAAAGTCTTGTAATCGTGCAAAAAAATACACCTCTCTGATACGGAAAAACATAATTTTGCAATCTTGTCCGTATGTCTGTGTGTGTGTGTGTGTGTGTGTGTGTGTGTGTGTCTGTCTGTCTGTCTGTGTACAAACACGATAACTTGAGTACCGTTACAGCTAGATTGATGAAATTTCATATATAGGTATTTTATCAAAATCGTAGATAAGTATCAAATTTTGAGCGATTTCCAACAATCGGAAGTGGTACTTTTTCTACTTTGAATTTTACAAAAGCCTATAACTTGAGTACTATTTCAAATACATAAATGAAATTTCACATGTAAGTAACAGATCTAATTCTCTACCTTCTGACAAATTTTGAGTAATTTCCGTTAAAGTACTATTTTACGCTATTTCCGATTTCTCAAAAAACGCATGTAAATTTATAAAGGACTTATACTATTGCGCACTATTATGCACTTTTTGCTTTTGCGTTCGCTTGGTGCGCAATTCTTTTTTCTACTAGATTTTATTCTATTTTGAAAAGTTTAAATAAACAAAAATCATGTCTATATTCCGAGTTGCCATCCCACGTATTGTTATATTAGAATATTCGAGAAAGTTTAGGGGATATTACTCCCGGTTTATTTCTATACTGTTTGGAATTTTCATCCCTCAGAAATCACTCAGTGCATCAACATTGAAGTTTATCAGGGAGTATAAAATAAACATTGGCAGACGAAGGCTCACATACCTGCTTGCAAGTGGAGTTTTCCGTTGGTGGAGGCCAAAAATGCATCATTTCTCAGTTCAGCTGCAAGCAAATATAATTAATACAGAGCATATACACAGTTGAGGTAAATTAACTACATTGAAAAACAAAGACTTGTCACAACAATTAAAACAAGCTTTGACTAACAAAAATAAAATAAATCACGTTAAACCGTATATTATACAATGTTTAAAGACGATTTGAAACACGCAATTGACTTTCATTCCTCTCCCCCCCCCCCCCCACCTCTTAAAAAGAAGAATTACGATATTTAGGTTTTTTATAAATTTAAAATGGATAAAACAATAATTTAAATCCCCCCCCCCTTATTTTTTCCAAAAAAAAAACAACAAAAAAACAATCACGATGAATTTTTAGTTTATTTTAAATTTAAAATGGATAAAACTGAAACGTCCTAATATGACAGCGGACACCATTGAGAAACTTTCAGGAACACTGTCAAATATTACCAGCCTGAGACGTAAATAACAGCTAAACACAAACTAATTAATTATCCATATTTTCCGGTTTAACATAACTGAAATTAGAATTTTCGCAATAAGTATAAATAAACCATTTTTAGGGGTCATCCATCTATGACGTCCACAGCGATGTGGAATTTTACACCCCCCTCCCCCTCCCTGCAAAATATGAAACATTTGATTGTGTATTTAATAGTATTCCTTCTGGCTTATAATATAAACAATCTTAGCATTTTTAAATATTAGCCTCTGGGTCATGACCTTTATCTCTGTTTACTTATTTTCTTGTTTTACAACAAAGAATTACTCATTGCGTAATGCAATGAGTTCGGGCAAAGTCTGGAAAATCTCTAGATTTTGCTACATTTTTAGACCATTAAAAGTCTGGAAAACCACTAGATTTCAGGCTGGTTTGAAAGAACAGTCTGGAAAGAGTTGTGAGTTTAAGTTTATTTTAGAAACAAAACTTTTTTTCATGTTGTCCGCAGATCTACGGCGTGTAATCTTACTATGATTATTTTCCTCTACTATGTTAAATCTATATCAGTCATCACAAGACGACGATAAAAACTGTTATGCTAAAGCGAACAAGGAGGCAATGCACCCCGATGATGTAAAGTAGCGTACGCCTAATGCATTTTAGAGAAAAATAAAATAAAAAAAAACAAAAACAAAATTAATTAAAATGACCATGTTTAACTAACGTTGAGTACTCAGCATACAAATTTCATGCAAGACTTTTTTATAAGTTTGCATAAATCTATTATTTACTTAGAGGTCGTCCATAAATGACGTTACACTCGTAGGGGGGAGGGGGGGGAGGGTCCGTAATTTTGTGACGGTGTGTGATGAGGGGGAGGGGGGATTCAGATAGTGAGAAGTCACACTTTTGCATTATCAAAAAACAATGTTAGAAAACGAATTTTAGACGTTATTTTGCGTTTTAGAAAACCGTTTTAATAAATTGTAATAGGAATTGGGTTCAGACACAATTTCGGAAAAATATCGATGTTTAAAAAAATTTCAACTGCAATTTTGAGGGGAGGCGGGTTGTAGGCTGAGGTGTGACGTCTTTTTTTTTTGGGGGGGGGGGGGGGGGGGGTCTGGCTTTTTTGTGACGACGTGTGACGGAGGAGAGGGGGGAGGTAAAAATCGTCAAAAAAAGCAGGACGTCATTTATGGATGACCCCTTAATCGGTTCAGATATTTTAGTTGAGATATTTAAATAACCGGTCTACAGTGGAAATGAAGTAGAGTTGATCAGTTTCTGTAACATTGGCATGTGGGGGTACAGTGTGTTAATTTTTACGCCCTGTCACTTTGGCTTTACCTAACGTAAGTTATTCTCATGTCAGGGGTGGGTATATTCTCATGTCAGGGGTGGGTATATTCTCATGTCAGGGGTGGGTATATTCTCATGTCAGGGGTGGGTATATTCTCATGTCAGGGGTGGGTATATTCTCATGTCAGGGGTGGGTATATTCTCATGTCAGGGGTGGGTATATTCTCATGTCAGGGGTGGGTATATTCTCATGTCAGGGGTGGGTATATTCTCATGTCAGGGGTGGGTATATTCTCATGTCAGGGGTGGGTATATTCTCATGTCAGGGGTGGGTATATTCTCATGTCAGGGGTGGGTATATTCTCATGTCAGGGGTGGGTATATTCTCATGTCAGGGGTGGGTATGCTCACGTACGTCCTACACACTCGAAGCCAAAACCCGAACCCCCCCCCCCTCCCTTTCATCAAAACATTCTATTACATCGACAGGTTTTCAGAAAGATACGTAAAAAACATATTTTCTTGATTTGATATAATTAAAATATTTATAGCGCTTATGTTACGGGTATGAATTTAAGCATTTTTTTTACGAAAACCTAAGCGAAGCTTGGCATTATGCCTAGTTTTCAAATTAATTGTAACAGTTTTCGTCAGAAATTATGCTAAGGACCAAACCTTCATTGAAGAAGTTTTTAGAATTTGTTATGTTAAATGGGCAATGATTAAGTTCTCACATGATTGCCAAAAGCAACTATTTCATTTTACTACGGCTATAGACTTGTTTAGGGGAATTAAGACTCTAAACAGCTCTATTTAAAATGAGTAAAAATTGAGATGTTACTATAGTAGCATCTCCGCACCCTCACCCACATACCGTTTAGATAATCATCACAAATTACATAAGCAGAATATAAGGGTCGTCCATAAATGACGTCACATTCGTAGGGAGGAGGGGGTGGGTCCGTAATTTTGTGACAGTGTGTGATGAGGGGGAGGGGGTTCAGATGGAGTGAAGTCACTTTTCCGCATTATAAAAAAAAACAATTTTAGAAAACGAGTTTTATCCGTTATTTCAAATTTTAGTAAACGGTTTTGATAAACTGGAATTGGAATTGATCAAAATACCCTATGTTGACAGAGTTCTGACAAGATTTTGGAAAAATATCGATTTTTACTTTCTCGTATATACGAAGTATAGAGAAAGTATTGTAATCGTGCACAAAAATAACATGAAATTTTGACAGTTTTCACCGTTTTACTCCTCAGTCCTTCATCACATCCGGAGTATAGAGGACTTATTTTAATCAGGCAAAAATTATAAATACAAATATATAAACGTTTTGGCGTTTTATGCGTTATGGAGTCGTAAAAACTGGACTTTGCAATTCTGTCCGTATGTCTGTGTGTCTGTGTGTCTGTCTGTGTGTAAACACGATAACTTGAGTACTGTTACAGCTAGGTTGATGAAATTTCATATACAGTGGCGTAGCCAGGATCGTCTCATGGGGGGGTTCCAATTTTTTTCCAGCATTTTATATATATATATATATATATATATATATATATATATATATATATATATATATATATATATGTGAGCGGCTGGAGTGTATTTTTATTATTTGTAACTTAGAAGGCGAATGTATCGTTTCGTTTCATGTCGTAAATTGGTCGTCGTTTTAGTTGTGTAGTCCCGTATTATGGCGCCGCTGTCTCACTGTTTATGTTCCTGGTTATAGCTAGTTTATATATATTTCGTTTATATTGTTGTCATTGTTTATATTAAGTGTCTTTTTATAATATTCTGTTGCATGTTTCGTCGTGTTTGGTTTGTTATCCGTGAATTAGGGACTATTTGTTTACGTGTAGTGTGTGAGGTGTGTGGAAGTCGGTTTCCGGCTTGTTCAACTCTGTCTTTTGTGTGGAAAGCAGCGGTGAAGAGAGCAGGCAGTCTCTCTGGTCATCGAGTGAAAAGAATAGCAAATTCGCACCATCCAGCCGTATTTATTTTGTGTTTGTGTTCGTCATAGTCCTGGACGTAGTCCGAAATTGGGTGTTTTGTTTGATGTAAAAAGTTTGTTTCGTTTGGTTCTGTTTTGTGTCAGTTTTTATCATTTTTTTATAACTTTTGGTTCCATGCAATAAATTTTATTAAATTGTTAAAAGTTTTTGTTTTATTTTAGTAGCTTATTATTTAGACTAAGGTTAGGGTTTAACCACTGTGGGTTCTACCACGGTTGCACTGACCGGACAGATTAGTTAGTTAAGCCTAGAAGGGTAGATTGTAGGTATCCCCCCCTAGCAGGGCTTACAAATTGGTAGCACGAGTGGGGTCAGTGCTTTAGTCTAGTTAAATTTTTGTTTTTTGATAGGGCTAGTTGTAGCTTAGATAAATTTTTTGTTTCTGATAGGCCCTTTATGGAACCATATGTGTTTAGTTTTTGTGTAGTGTAGGAATTGTTGATTGTTTAAAACACCCAATTCGGACGAGATGGCGGAGGTGGCACCAACCATCATCATCGTTCCACCCAGGGAGATCCTCATCCGGAAGTTTCATGGTGACAGCCACGGCTATGAGGTGGAACGATTCATTGACGAGGTCCAGTCTCTCTGGAGGGCCAGAAGAGACGTCACAGTAGAAGAGAGGAAGGACCTTCTCTGGCAGTACCTGGGGGAAGCTGTGAGAGAAGAACTGAGCTGCAGGGGAGATGACCTGCAACGTGACCCAGAGGCCTCCATCAGGCTCCTCCGAGAAGTCTATGGGGAGAAGAGGAGCGTCTCCCAGCTAATGGCGCAACTACAAATGGTTGTGCAGGGCCAACACGAGTCGGTGAGGTCCTACTCGCACCGCCTGCACAGGGCCTTCAAGGCCCTTGTTGCCAGACAGGGCACCCTGCAGGTCCCTCAGACGAATGCTGAGTTCCTAAGGGACCAGTTTATGGAAAAGCTGAGAGAGTCCTCAGTCAGACGCCAGTTGCAAGAACTGGTTTTCAGGGACCCTAAGATCCCCTTCCTGGCCATACGGGATGCGGCCATTCGATGGTCTGGAGACGAGGACCCAGGGACAGAACCTGCCTATGTGGCAGCTCTACATGCCCGCCCCAAGGAAGAACCCACCCTGCCCAGGTCCAAGCTGGAAGACAGGGTGGACAAGCTCGCAGAGCAGCTATCGGCTCTGTTGACTCATTTGGCACAGAACCCTCATGTGGCATCTAGCCGAAGGGTACCCCGCCGACGTCCAGAGGCGGAAACAAGAATGTGTTACAACTGTAACCAGC